TTCTTGAATGTCGTATTGATTGTGTGGTTTGTTTGATATTTATTTGTTTTTAACTTCCTTTTCCCTTAGTGTAAAATATTTTAAATATTTACTTAAGATTGTATTGTTTGTTTGTATATAATAAATAACACAAATCATACAACGTTCTGCCAACTTTCATGAACCTCAATCCACATAACCTCCATAACCAAAACCTCAACCGACATAATTTCCTTAAACAATCTTCACTCCTCTTGTCATTGAAATAATCAACCCACAAATTGTCCCCACAAAAGCGGAGAGGAGACCATTTCCACGTAAATTACTCAACCCACGTGACATACCCTTGAGTTGTGCAAACAATCCACAAACTTAATTAGATCTTCAGGCAGGGGCGAGGGCAGAAAGAACGCAACTTTCGAATTTAAATTTTCACCGGATTCAGACAACAGATGTGACAACCGACAACAACAATCTCAACAACAATCACAACAACTTCAACAGCAATTACAACAACAACAATAGTCGTACGTGAAAAAGGTGAACCACAATGCAGCCCAGGAAAAGAAAACTCTCCAAAACGCTCAACATTGGCATCCTTTTTCCCCGAGTGTGTTGACTGGAGGATGGTGAATGTGGATGGTTGTGGGGTATGTGGGGTTGAACGGATGTGCCACCAACTTCAAAATAAGTATGTTTTATGCTGTGCCGCAATGGCAGCAACACCAACAACATTTCGTTGTTCACTGCGGAAGCGGAAACTTCAAAGCGCAAACACTTGGCTTTATGAAGCTGTTAAGGGGAAGAAAAGTGGGAAAAACCAGCTGGAAAAGCTGGGTGGCAGTCTATAAGGCAGTGTAGTGGGGAAAGCGAAGCTGAGTGAGGCAACAGCGACAGCATGCGACACAAGTGTAGCACACTTTGTGGCACCGAAAAAAGGGGGAGCCACAACAGACAAAACAGGGTGAGAAGTATCTTTTTGACAAGTGTGTGGTGGAGTGACACTGCGAGAAACAAAGGAACGTGAAATAAAGCTAATAGCAATGAACCTAATATTTATTGGAGTGATCAATCTTTAATGAGTTTTATTTCTGGAAATGGTTTTCGACTTGGTTTTTATTATAGAATTTTTACACTCCATATATTTCCCATGCTCCCAACATCTTTACTCAATCAATATCTGCCTTAGTCTCCACTACTCTTTGGGACTCACTAAATATCGAATCAATCCCCAATCACAGGATCCCATCCCTTTCAACCCTGTTTTCTTATGGGCACGCACCTGCTCCTCTGCATTGCGTGTGTGTTCTCCTGTCGTCTCGTGTCTTCTGAATTAATTTACGCATTGCGGAGAATTTTGAGTTTTACTTTTGGGAACACGCCGAGCCGCTTTCAAAGTTGTCAACTCGGCTTATTTCATTTGCAGCAATCCCCGTATTCCCCCCTGTTCAGGCTGGCTGTTATTGTCACCGTTTTGTTATTAATTCACAGAGAGCACTTGTTGTTGCCACTCGTATTGTTGCCACTGTAATTTATAACCTGCGTCACCAGCTGCGCGACAAAAGAACAAAAAATAAAGAAGATGGAAAAAAGGGACAAGGAACAATAAAATTTTGAGCAATTTTTGCTGTCAGTTGGTGCCGTAAAATTTACTTACTGGCAGGTTCTGGCCGCTCTTGGCAGCTTTCTTGTTCACTCTTTTTGTTCTTCATTATTTTTAGTTGTTCTTGGAATACCCTAACTGAGGAGAGTATGGTTTAGCTTTTAAACTACGGTTGAAAGTATTCTCAGAAAAGTGATTTAAAAGTGCCAGAAAAATTCCCAGAAAACCTAAGCATCTTATTTCTTTCCTGAAAATCTCTCTGGGCAGTTAATCTAAAAAAAAAACCCTAATAATCTTTAAGCCGTAAACCATTTTTTTGGGTTCTCTTTTCATTCAAGAGTGTTTTGATTTCGTTGTGCCTTGATGAGTTCTTTTCACCTGATTTTATTTTGTCTTGTCTTGTCGTCTCCCTTGTACAGGTTTGTCTTTGGCTTGTACATTTTTTATGTGCCTCCTTCTGCCATGTACATATTTTATCCTTTATTTTTTTGGAGCTGCACCATGCCACGCCACGTTCCCTGTCCTGTTTCTGCTTTTGGTCCTGTTCCAAGTGCACTAAAAATGCGTAAACTTAACTTGATTTCACAGACATTTTTTCGTCCTTTTCTGTGTTTGCTTTGGCCAAACAATTCCTTTTGAAGGTCCCTGGCCAAGTGCCTGTCCGGGGCCAAAAAAAGAAGAATACAGAAAGCCAAAAAGAGGATGCAAGTTGTAATTTCATTTCTCACAACTCTTTGGGACTTCACCCCTGTCGTACCGTGCCTCCCCTTCCACCGTAACATACTTTCTTGGCCATATGGGTGGTGGGGCGTATGTACATGGGGGCGTGTTTAATTCAAGTTGGCAAACAACATAGAGATAAAGTTTGTTTGGATTTCACCAAAGCCCGCTGCTGAAATTGTTGCCGTTTCTGCCTGTGCCGTTCCCTACTCTCTTTTCGGCGCACTCTCTCTCAGGGCCTGTTGTCATATCCTTTATTGCATTTGTTTTCCTGCCTTGCTGCCTGCCGCGTTTTCTTTTCCGCGTCGTCATCGGGAAAATGCCAACTTGGGCTTTAAGACAAATTCCCGCAATTTATTTTTAGCATTTCCACTTGGTATTTGCCTTGGCTTCCGTATTCATGGCCCAAAAGGAAAATCAATTCAAGTTTTTTACTCAAAAAAAAAAAAAATGTAATTTTTTATAAAAAACTCTCTCCTAACGTTTAACTCTTGCCAAATGTTTGCATTGGTTTTCATTGCTGGCTATCGAATTTTCATTATCGGAAGGCACACCAAATATGTAGTTTGTGAAAGCAATTAAATTTGCATGGAAATGGCATTTACCTAACACCATTTTGCTTTATATTTAGCATCAGTTCAGGCACATATAAGGGCTTGTAGGTATTTTATAATAATTATATGAATTAAAAAAAATGTTTCATCTACCATAATATTTGACAAAAAATATTTTATGAGCAATTTTAAGCCTCAAAGTTAGAACTAGTGTGACATTTTACTTTTAATCTCTTCTGTTAAAGCTTTGTAGATTAAGCCAAAAATAGTTGTCATTTATTGTGATTAAAAGTTACAAAAACATTTATAGAATGAACATTTACAGCAGCTCGAATCAATCTATAGATAAAGAGACTCCTGAAAGGTTATCCTTGAGTGAAAGGTTATCCTTCTGAGTGAAATATTACCCATGTCTTGCGAAAACTTATTTTACCTTCATGAAAAATTTAATTTAATTTAAGGATCCGTTCCTGCTTCATTTAAGATTCTTTGTTGTATAATAATAAATTTAAATAATTTAATAATTTCTGAATAATCATTTTCACCATATGTTTAAAGGTCCTGACTTAATAAAGAAAGCATTCCAAAGTCTATTCAATATCTGGAAATTTAGTTTTTTCAAGATTGCATTTTATAAACTTAAGCTGCATGTTTGGCAAAAGTTTGTTTGCTTCCGTTTTTGTTTTTCTTCCATAATGGATTTAAAAATATCCCAACTTTGTTTAAGCCGAAATATTGCAAGAAAACTTTAGTTAATCTCACAAGGAAACAACTTCTCAAAGGCCCGTCATATTGTTTTGGCTTGAAAAATAACTAACTCAGAAGCATAAAATAAAATACAAAATATTGCAATAGAAATTTTCTTTAAATAAAATAAAAACTTTAAATATTTTGTAGCCAAAATTCCTTCAGAATCCATCAAAATGTCCCAATTTTGTTTGCGCCAAATACTTTCCTCACTCCATTTCCATCCTTAACTACCCTTTTCAAAGAAAACTATCCACTTAATCTGTCACAGAATATCGCTTGTGAATAGTTCTTCAGTTTTTGGCAACTTGGCCAAGTAAATATTTTAATTTTGCATAAAAGTCATGCCCACTAATTGGGTTAAGAGAGGACTTCACAGACAGAAAGCCCAAAGAAAGACTACTGCACGAAAAGTGTGCCTTCCCTTTGACAATTTTCTTCATTCAAGTTGTGTTCAAAGTTCCCTTGCAGCTTGTTTGTGGAATGTCAACTTTTGCCTTTGGCATCGCAGCATCTCTTATCTCTTTCGATCTTGAAACGTCTGCCAGCCGAGACTTCAGACTGCGTTCAGACCACAAAAGGGAACCACAGAACTTGCTTTGCTTTTACTTTTGGGTGAAAACAGTTAAGAAGCTTAATGCTTCACCATTTCTGGGCTATCAAAAATGAATTTCGTTGACCGCAACACTTATCAGTTGGGAGGCATTTTTCTTTTCAGTTGTTGTTTTGCTTTGTTTGTTCTGTAAATGTGTTGATTGCCACATGCTCATGGAAAATTAGTTAATGGTCATTATCCCTGACACATTCACATTCCAAGATAAATAGATAGGGGAGGATGTCTAAAACTTTAAGGGGATTCTTTTGGCCATGCTGACTCATAAGTATAAAGATAGTCGGGCTTGAATAATTAAAACAACTTCAATAAAGAACTTACATCGTAAAGCAAAGGATATACATATGTATATGTATATGTATATGTATATGTATGTATATCTAGAACACCAGGGTAGACTATAAGACCCAGAGCAGGAGTAGCCGGAATGCCTTATCAAAAAAAAAAACTTTTAATCGAAATGTTGCATGTTTTATTTTATTTGCAAATATATTAATTCCAATATATCCTTTGTCATTTTAGCACCTGTTTGATGCATATGCACTCCAGAATTCAATTTTTACAATTTTAAAGATACTTAGAATCATAGTCTTAAGGCTCATAAATGATGAGATGATAATATATACTGATATTTCGAAATATTTTTTTTTAGGTGTTTGCCTATTATTATTTCGGCTATCATAAACTAATTTTCTTCAGCCGCTACAATTATCACATAGCTTAGGGTAATTTTTCCCATTTTAGTTTTTGTTTGTTCTATAAATATGTTGGATTTGCCACATACCCAAAATCAGTTGATGGTCATTATCCGAGTGTTATCCCAAAATGTGAAGAGTGTTTTCGGTGTTGTTTGCCGACAGTTATTTTGTTGGTTGGTTGTTGGAGTGGTTTTTTTTTTGTGGTCACGTCATCGATTAGCAATGTGTTGCCATGGCATCGTCCACTTTACAGCAGCAGAACACAAACACAAAGCACGGCGGTTAAGGACAGGACTAGGGGTGGGTGGTAAAACCACACACAAACTAACACGGTGACCACGAAAGACACGGGGGACACCCTCCACCGAGTCCTAGACCCACAAAAATTCAAAGTCCTGACCGCGAGTTGTAAACAAAAATAAAGGACAATGTCTCACTGTTCTTTTGGGGAGGTCTATGGGTCTATGTCTCCTCAGGATAATGCGGCGGTGTATCCTTCGTACTCGCGTCCCTTGATTGCAGTTTTATCTTGGAATGCACTGCACTCCGCAGTGCTAATTCCACACTCGGAACACACCGTAACTATGATGATAGTGATGGGCTTTTTGTTTGGGCTTCGGTTTGGTGTTTTTTTGTTGTTTTTGGGGGGCCACTTTCCTTCTAGCAATTGCGACTACAACACGACCGTCTGCTCGCACGGCTCGCCGTCAACTGGTTTCGCCTCGCGACTCCAAGCCGTTGTCGTGGACGTGGCGACTCGTGCCCCCGTGCAACCGAAGTCTCGTGCCGCCACGAGATCCAAAACACGAGCTGGGGATATTTCCTAGTGAATTATGCATTTTCACCTCTTTTTGGGGGGCATGCAACGAGCTGGGAATTTTCCCTGGCTCTCTCTCGTCTCTCATAGACTGTGTTTTGGGCAATTTAAGGCATTTTATTCAGATGTCATGGTGAATTTCCATTTGGTGACAGTGGTTGGTGAAGGTGGAATCGGATTTAGCCGGTTTGTTTACGTTTTTGGTCTGCTTTCTTTTTGGAGCCGGCTTTCACCGCTATATGGCCACCATATGATTGCCACAAGGGTTGCTGCCACTTTTCTATGAAGTGCTTTTAATTGATTGAACAAAAGGGTTCTTTTTATTAGGGCGGAAATGGAGGAGTTTATTTTCAATGAATTTTTTGTCCTTTTTAGCTGAAATGGATTCACTGTTTTTTTATATATAATTATCAAAAATATAGTACCTAGCCCAAGAGTATACCCTAGGAATCATAAATAGAAAATTCTGAAATCTGATATCCGTTTGGGAGCCTTCAGATATATTTTATGATTTATCGAATCGTACGATTGAATTAAATAATTGGGGAAATTGGTGAGACTTCAATTTATCATGATAATCAAAATCGATATATTGTAACTCCAACATACCTTATATGTATTAAAAATATTGAGCAATCCACAAATTTATTTTCAAATCAAAAATCGAATTTTAAACGTATTTTAGTACCTGTTTTTGTAATTGAATAGATTTTCATGTCTGGTCCTGATACAAGGTTTCGTTCATACGTTCCTATAGCTTATTTAAGCCCTATATTTCAAATAATGATGACAAATGTCACATTTACCAGGAAACTTTTTGGTCGAAGTCCGTGTAAAGCACCCTGCTCTTCCCCCTGTGTGTCCCTCCCTTGTCTTTCATCTAACTGTCGTGTGACCACAGAAAACTGCAGGCCGCCTGAATGTTCCGGGCAAACCGCTTTACGGTCGCAACTTTTCCTGGTTTCGGCTTATTTACAAGAATTTTTCGTTTTATTTTCAGGCCCAGGGGCCAGGCACTAAGCCACAAGCAGCAAAAAGGAGACAGGACACTGCCGAAAGGGGGAGGGAGTGCCACAATAGACAAAGTGTATCAATTATAATACGGGTACGGAAGCAGAAGCAGGACCCCAACAGAAAGAGGTACCAGAGCCCAGAGAGGAGGAGGAACAAGGTGAAGCAACCAGGAGGAGGATCAAGAGGAACATCCAGGAGACCCCACACACACACACAAACAGATACACACAGATATGTCGGCAACGACAAGTACAACCACAATTACCTCAGATCCGGGCATCCTCTGTTTTCATCATTGCAACGCAAAAGTTTTCTGCTTCACTTTGCCCCACACTTGTCCCCATTGCAATGCGCCACTGGATGCGGATGCAGATGTGGATGCAGATGTGGATGCGGATGCGGATGCCCAGTCCACAATGGACATGGGTGCGACAGCTGCCGCCAGTGCCGCCGCCCGCCTACTGCCATTCCGTCTGCCGTATCCCTTTGTGCGGGCCACACAGCATCCGTGCGCCATTGTCCTGCGGCCCTCCACCGGCGATTTTCTCAAGTGAGTATCACAGGATGGGTTTAGTGGAGGGAAAAGGGTATGTCCACTAAAACATTTTTACCCGCTTTTGACTTTAAAATCCACGAATATATCAGCTTACAAAATTTGTATAGTAGTTTGGACAGCCGTTTAAAATAAGACATTCTGTATCAACAAATTTTCTGATTCAAATTTCCATAAAATAAAAGATTTTGAAACATTTTTACCACAGAAAAATGTTTGTTGAATGCTATTCGATTCATATTACTCAACTCAAAAAGTATATTTTGAAACACCTGATGGTAGAACACGATTCAAAGAAGATTCATAGTCGCTAAGTAAAGAATTTTCATCCTTTTTATTTGGATATTTATCCAGTCAATCAGTTCCCAGTGAAACATCCTAAAACAACAAAAAATGAGCAACAATTTCCATCTGCTCTCTTTCTTTTCTACTACAAGGTCTTAAAGTAGTTTTTTTATTTTCATTTTTTGGTAGAAAGGATGCTCTGTGGTGGCTCTCCCTCTGTAATTTTAAATATTCCTGCAGATCTTAAAAGCCAGACCAATTCAGACTCCCTAAAATCCACTGCCATAGCGCTACCAAACAAAAATCTTTGTGCAAATTTCTACCATTTTTTGCTCTCACACTTTTTTGGTTTTTTGTATCTTTCATGGCTGAAATACATATATATTTTTGATGCGATGCGTTGTGTGTTTCCGCAGCGATTACAGCAACGCAACCGATTTGCATATCGCAGTGACCACATCCGGCGGCGACATCGTGGAGTTCGATCGGGACGGACTGCGGCGGCATCGGCGGGACGATAATCCGCGCGAATGGTGGCAGAGTCTCCTGGTGGGCGATGTGCCCGAGCCCTGGCATGACTACTGGGACGAGATGCTGCAGCAGGTGAGTGGAGTGTCGGCTCCCTTCTTTGATATTCATGCAAATCCCTAAGCTCACTCGGACCACGGTACCCACTGGGTTCCCAATTTGTATCCCCTACCATTTGCATTAATAGATTTGCGCCCAATCTATGCGGTGGTCCGTTGCCAGCTACGTGGAGACCAGCCACAACTGCTATGCCTTTGTCCTGGCCTTCCTCCAAGCCCTGGGCCATGGCCAGTTGAGTGAAGCGGCCCGCAGTAAAACTGCCTTCTGTGAGAAATACATTGTGCCCCGTACGACGACGGCGGGCAAGTACATCTCACTCTATCGCAGGCTGCGTCGCAACGGAGTCCATGTGCATCGACAGCAGCCCAAGCTTAGGACTAAGCTGAAGTCATCCACCGCCTCCTCATCCGCAGATGTCTGTGATGGTGCCAGGAGCACCAGCAAAACCTCAGCAAATGGCTTCGCCAGCAACAGTATTGGCATCATTGGTTCACGGCCCCGTCCAAAGCTTTGCACTATTGAAGAGTGATCGATGAAACGGACTATCAAATGGCAGTTGAGAGTGGGATGGATTCAGGTAAATTATGTGGATATTATTGAAGTAATTACTATGGAAAATGGGTGTGCAAATTGTAGGAAACAATGTAAAGTTACAATGAAAGACACTTAAAATGAGGTCTGAAAGAAATTATACATTTTGATCTTCCTGGGAGTCGAAGTAAGAACCTTTTAAGAATGTTTCACCCTTTACGAAGCGCATTAGATTAATTTAATTATCTTTTTGTCTATATACCCTGTCAGAGTTTGTTGAATAGATACTTCCTGTGAAGCTATAAATTATTAACATCGTATTTTTCCATCACTATCCCCAGAGATTCGATAAGACACCCATAACTATACCTAGTAATAGACTCTCAGCTACAACAAGATAGAATATTTATATATTTAAAAGTATTGTGTATATTTATGTTTTGGGTATGTTTGGGAGTTTTATACTTATAATATGTATATTTGTTCACAATATAAATTCGGTAATGGTTGCTTTGGTTTCAATGGAATGTTTCAAAGGAATGATATACCCTTTTACAAAGGTTATATATGTATATATCATATGTTTCATAAATATCTTTGGAATGCCTTAAGTTTCCTTTAGCTTTTAGCGACCTTTGGGCAATACATTTTCCCGGAACATATTGGTGTAGTTACCAGGGGGATTGTAATTGCACACAACATAGATGACGTTTCCCCTAAAAAAGAGATAATCAAATATATATGTATATTCAACTGTATATAGCTTTGCTGAAAAGATGACCAACCTTTTGGCAAATCCCACACCCAACTCAGTGGAGTTTTTCCACACCACTTGGGTGAAGTGTCCCGTGCCCATTCTGAAAGCGGGACTGTGCCAATTGTATTGATTGATCTCGTTGTACCAGGAATCCACAGCATTGGCAGCAGGCATCTGGCCACCCATGGCCATATAAATGTTCTCGCCATATCCGCTATTCTGACGATGCTCCATGCGATTGTTGGCCAACAAATGCTGAAACGATAAGTTGGATGGGTATAAAGAGTGCTTTTTGGAAATATATTGTGTATATGGATCCTACCTGAGCCCAATTGGTGGCCAATGCATTCAGCTTGGGACTCAGACTCAGCGGTGGGGCATGGTGCAGTGCGCGATATTTATTGTGGGCACTGAGGCATTCCTGGGCAAACTATAATAATGAGATTTACAATGATTAGTTAGCTATACATTTGTTCTTCATAATATTAGCTTCAGATTGGGTTCAGATTTGTTCGTTTTCACTGTTTTACTCTGTTGCTATGAATCTAGTTTCTAGCAAACTCCCTAATGACTTAAAAATATCTCATTATAATTTACCAACAAAGATTATATCTTAAAGCAGGTTAAGATATCTTTTTAGAGCTTTAAATTTATATTTGCAGAAATTTCTTATCTTCTAAAGATATCCTTATAAAGCTTTAAAGATATCTTATAAATTCAAGAAAGATTTGGGAAGATCTTCAAAATATTATTTTACTAGATCTCAAAAAAAATCTCTTCATATATCATTAAACGGATTTTAGTGCATTCATGCAGTGTGTTTTGGCCTAATACATTTTAGCACCACTCTAAAGATCAATTGCAATATTTTGCAATCCAGCGGCGGTCACCGGCACTGTCCGAAATCTGGTGATTCTGACCCAGAGCGATAATCGTGCTGTGAGCTACTTCCGCCGCTGACCGTAATGTGACGCATCAGCAAATTAACCGGGAGAACAAAAAGAGGGCTTTTCGGGCCAACGCCAATAAGAAAAAATTAGAAATGTGACATGTAATATGTTTCCTGTACTTTTCTCATTTAACTTTATGGCAATGTCATTGATTTGCAAAGGAACTATTTTCTTCTATCTCATTATTGTACCACTCGTCAGTAGGTCATGCAACAAATTGTTCTCTAAAGATTTTCCATTTCATTGCCCTCTTACTTGTTCCACACTCATTTTCGTTTCGTTTAACTCGTTAACACTTGGTTGAATTTCACTTATTTTTCACTCGTTAAATTGTTGTTGTATTTAAATCAAATTAAAATTTTCGCACAGTTGTTGTGTTTTTTTGTCTCGACAGTTGTCAAGTTATGCTGATACTGCCTCTGGCAGCGGCTCAGAGGTGGCTTTTATGGGGCCTGTCCGGATTTTCTTATCAGTTGACTTTCCTACAGACCCCCGCACTACACATCGCTATGGGTATTATGAACTGTGCTCCATTGTTAGTCATCTGATCTGCCCCACTTTGGTATATCCCAAGATATATTGTATGATATGAGCTGCATTGGAAGTTCTTGCAAAACTGTTGCGAGGGTCTTTTTTTAGAACTTATCTAAATTATCATTTCGATAGGAAAACAATTTGATGAGCATTTAGTTATTAAACTAGAAGGGTATCTTGTATTTGAGGAAATGTTACACGAATAGTTACACTTAAAAAATGTATATCATTATATAATTGTCAAACAGTTTTCACTTACATTTCATATTTCAATAAAATATTTGTATTTTTAGATTGAATATATTTCCTACAATTTCAACATATTATATTTAATTTACAGTGATTTATCATTTGATTTTCAATATCGCCAGAATGATGAAACTAATTCCCAAATTCCCAGCTGTGCGTTTCTTTCGACTCATTTATATCCTCGTTGAAAGATTAACCATAGCTTTTCCACTTATTCAAAGCTCCTAGTTAATTTAATATTAAAAACTCTATAGTGGAATTTGCTCCCATGATGTGCAAAAAAAAATCAATTTTGTTCGCCTGCGGAGAGTGGATTCCTTGTGATTTACACACACAAGTCAAGTCGGGGTAAAAGGTGTTTGTGGCCAGGTTTTACATCCTGTGGCTGTCACTCGCGCCTGCCTCATTAATGAACGCAATAACCCAGACGCTGAGATGAGGATAAAACACGAGAATGGCGATAAGGAGGGGCACGGTAATGGGAACAGGAACAGCAACGGGCTTTTGGTTATGCAAAACTGTCATGAATCGGGAAAATGTAATTACATTCTCGTTGATGATGCTGATGAGCAACCATCTCGCCCATCCAGCCCACAGTCTTCCTGCCAGCAAGAGCCATGGCCGACAACGATACCGACGACGACGGCGACATTTCATCTTGGATAGAACGCAATACGTGCATATAAATTGTATAATGTCGCCTCAGCCAACGCCAACATCAACGACACGTAATTTCGAAGTAAATAAGTTTTCCCCAGACTTCGAGCTAAAGTTTTGCTTATGAGTTTTAGCCTCGTCTCTCTGTTTTACCAGCTGCACCCCACCTACCTATCTGACTACCACCATCAGTCCTTCCCATACTCGAAATATATCTAAATGTTCCTGTTTTGTAGATTGTTTTTGTTTCGGCGACAGTGTGGATCTGGTATTGGTATTAGTATTGAAATCAACAGTTGCTGAAGCTTCTATTGGGCGGCATTGACGTTAGAAACGTGAAATTGAAAACGCTGAGGTTTAACGTAAGAGCAGAAGCGCGGGGAATTGAACGTGCCAGTGGGATAGGTAAACATGGGAATAGTTTAAGGTACAAAATACTAGCAAATTGTGGCCAATTACTCCTGTATTTCCTGTAAGATACTCACAAGGAAGACTCATGAAAAACATTCGAATCTAAGGTAAAAACTACTCAGGAATAAAGGAATATATGCATGTATAGAATACCTTCTTCTTCGCACCTGAAGTAAGATGTTGCCTAATTTGTGTTCTTCCCCAACAAATCGTAAAAGTTCTTTACGATTATAGCACTCATATCACTCAAATGTTGTTATTTATCATTAATTATTTAATTGCTGATATAATAAAAGGTTCCATTCATTAGGCAAACAAATTTGCACACGTTCTTGGGTTTCAATGCAGAATTTTTTGTGTGTATAGACCTTGGTAGATAAATAGTAATGACAATCGTAGCTTTGAGTCACGATTGCGCTTTAAAGTAGGGCAGTGCCGGGGGTCTATAACTTTACGACATTGAAGTGGGTGTGGGTGTGGGTGTGACTGGGGTTGGGATTGCGTTAATGTAGTATTTGTACGGGTATTTCAAAATTTCTCATGAGTCAAACAAAACCTTGCCAAATCGATTTTAAACCTGGCGCCAACAAAACATTAGCCTCAGCTGTTCTTCGTTCCCGGCCTCTCGTCTTCCGCTGTTATCTAATTAAAATATATAAATAGACTTTTAGCATAAATGCGTAACACAAGAAAACAGGCCAGTGGGTAAGGGGAAAATCAAGTCGAAAGAAAGCCCCGACAAACAGACCTTGAGCGTCATTTAAAAAAACGATTCGCAATATTCCATTTTCTTTCTATTTTGCCTGCATTCTTTCTGCAGCTCGCTTTGCATTTGGCCAAATGGCGGGGCGAACTTTGTACCCAAAAAATAGTTGACCCAAGTCCCAAGCTGCAAGCTGCAAGCAGAAAGAACACTGTTTAGACCCCGCCGGCGTCATGGTAATGATGTAGATGCCTTTCTATGGCTGCATGGCACGGAACCAATCTGCTGAGGCTCTCGTTCTCCTTCTCCCTCCCTCGCTACGATTTGACACGTTTTCAACGCTGTTGCAAGTTGTAGGGTGGGGGAGGAAGGTCTCCAGTGTGGAAAGCATTGAAAATCTCAACTAATGTCAAATGCTTTGTTGTCGCCGTCGTCGTCGTAGTCGTTGTCGAATATTTTCACCCGAAAAGGGAACAAAGAATGCCAACAGGGTGGCATGGGAATTGGACACTGTTCTGGTGACACTTTTAATTTAGTAGTGGAATATTTATCAATCGGATGTATTAATAACAGGCAATGCATCAGGGTCCACAAGATGAATGCATTTTCCTGGATGATTTATGCAGCAGCTGCCTTTACTTGGGATTCCCCTGTAACTAGTAGGTACAGCATCTTGGGATATTAGTCATCCGGCTTATAAAATATGCAAACATATAATAAAGGCTTTTGCTTTGAAAAAGCCAAACACTTGTCGCCAAGTGTGCCGGGGCAAATATTGACACACTGTCGACGCCTTTATTCACGCTAAATTGATTCCGATAAGGTGAACAACGCAAAGCTCTGCTCTGATAACAACTGATTTCATTCACAAAAGCAAATAGTAAATAGTAAATAGAGTAGTACTGCATTGGATAATTGTGTGTGAAACTACATACATACACATATAATTGCACGTAAGCAATGAGTTGAACCTTATCTGGTAACCTGCTGTTCACTCTATCTTTCTATAATACATACTTCTCCTCTTAAGAATTCGTATCTCATCAGCAAACTCAACTAATACTCAGCTTACAGTAGTCGTCTGATAATAGCAAAGAAGTGTTATCTAGTTAGCAGATTACTTTGATAATATTATCCCAATCCTTAGAATGGCACTTTAATTTTTGTATGACCCGGCGAAATTTATTCATTATGTCATTAATGTATTATGATTATGGAATTCGTTATCACTAGTAATTTAAACAAACAAAGTTGGCATAACTTTTTATCAAAAAGTTGGAGAATAATTTTTTGGCTGTGACTATGACTATGAATTGAATTACGAATATCTTTGTTGGGTTTTTTCAATGTTGTGCTTCTTAGATATAAGAAACCCAGAGGCTTCCGCACAGGAATGATTATTAATCAGTCAATAATTTCATCTACAATATTAATCAATTATATACATTTTTTAATGAGTGTACTCTCACTCCATGTAAAAAAAATAATTTGCAATCAAATATACATAAAGTATTTTGCTTCCTGGAATTGTGATTCATTTAGCTATGAATATACATAAAAACCTCTCAGATTTCTGATTAAAGCTCACTTTAATCTTGCAGCAAATATTGCATATAAAAATATATGCAACGAAAATTACGAAGATTATACAAAGTCAACAATAAATGCAACATGCCCTTTCCCAGCATAGCCACCACTTGAGTGTCATGAGTCGCATCCTCGGAGCTCGCTATCTTACCCTCTATATATATTCCCCACTCTCTTTGTCCTATCTCGGTTTTTGAAGAGTCCTGTTCAGATCCTTCTCCAGAGGAGGCGCATAAAAAATGTATTCACACAAATTTCTTGTGTCAACTGTGAAGTTTTTAGCGAATTAGCAATTTGTGCAGCGGTCGCAGTGAAAATTTTATACCAAATTGCAAATTCGTGTTGACTTTGTTTCAGTAAATTTTCCACCTTCTTTTTTTTGGCTGTGTTGTCTGCTGAAGAAGGACTTTTCTTTTCTCTTTTTCTTTGCTGCTTGGTGTGCTTTTTCGGTGGCGCTCCGTGTTGACTTAATGGAAATGTAAATAAAAAGTGAAGTTGATGCGCTCTCTCCTCTCTGGCCGTTGCTGTTTTTCACTGATAAGTTTTATTACACCCGTAAATATATATTTTTAATAGTATGCATATAGTTCATACATACATATATTGTGCATATATTGTAGTTGTGCTTTGGGGAAACATTTCACGCTCGATTGGTGGTTTAATTGTCATCTCATCTGTCTTCATTTCTCAGTTTCGTTTCAGTGTGATAATCTGTTGCATTGTCATGCATATTAAGTGGATAAATTTATGAAAATATGCATATTTATCACAGCGTATAATATGCGCTATTTAATTGTCACAGCTGTTTTGGTTTTTGATTTTTCACGTTTTCACAGCGAATATATATCACGTATACGCAGAGTTGTGCACTAGCTATCAAAACATTCCCACTGCATTGCATTTTCTTTAAGAATCAGTCGAAATGGCATTTGGGAATTTTCTTAGAATGCGTTTCATTGCGTATACGCAACGTTTGACGTGCCTTAAACCCCATCTCTGTGGTTTTCCTTGCCATTGCAAACCCTCAACTAAAATGTTCTTTGCGCAAACCAATATTGCATTCCCATCGATATGATGTGTACTCTGGCCGTATTATGTTCCAGCCACATAACCGGATACCCGAAGCTATAACCTCACAAACTGCTGCACAGCTTTCGATTGTTCACTAGATACATCTCAAGCAACTACTCAAACATACATATATATAGAAATATATATATAAGCATGACCAATAGGAGTGTTTCTTAGTGGCTGTTGCTGCTGCTACTGCTGATGAAAAGTCTTCTTTGGGTAAAATGTCTAGATGAAGTGCAATAAAACTAAATCGAATTCAAACACAAAGTTCATTTACAGTTCATCAACTCTGGCCAAAAGTAAACAAAATGTGGCCCAAAACTATGAGGGTTCGTACTCCTCTCACTCTCTCTCACTCGCTTTGGAAACTTCTAAACTTGGCTTTTATGCTAAATTAAATGTGCTATAAAGTGTGCTTGTTGCTTGGCTGCTGGTCCAACGAGTAAGCCAAAAAGTGGTGGACCTGCTGCTGCTAGGCGTTTATGCGGCAATGTTAAATGATTTTGCAATTTAAGTTGCTTAGGTGACTGGTGATTTCAGCGGTTCGTTTGGCTGGGGGCTGTAAAGAGTTTACCCCGCTTTGGTTTATTTTTGAATTCAGTGAAATTTGCCATTAGCCTGATAATGGCCATCGACTAAAACACATTTATTGTCGACCCGCTAAATGCTGAAAGCATCTGCGGTTATAGCATTGTCCGCGTCAATTTTCGGTTATCGTGGTGACACACAAAAGTTTTCACAGAAAAATCAACCGACAATACCACCGGATATTCCCATTGATTTCGTTTAATTTTCCATGGCTTTTCTGGTCAATTTTTGTGTGTCCGAAAAAATGGTTTCCCCGCTAATTGTGTGTGTAAAGCGTTTGTATATGTTTTTCCACATATTCCTGATTCTATGCATTTAATAAATTTGCTGATAATTTGATTTTCCACAAAGCACAAACACGACGAGTCTGGCCCCCCGTGTTTTGCATACTTTTGTGGGTAAAATTTTTAGAATTTTGTGGCTGCCATTATTTTCCATGGACTGCTGAGGGTGCACAATGGCGCAAAAAGGGTTTATGGGGTTCTTGGCCATTGTGCCATTATGCGATTTATTCAAGTTCAGTCGAAAGGTCGCTTCGCTCGACTTATTCGCGCTCGACCGGACACTGAAAAACGTTTCCAAGTGAAAATGCCAAGGAATTTTTCTGCGAAAAGGCGCCGAGGCGTGAAAAGCTGAGACTCTAAAAAGCTGAGTAACTGAATTTTCTTACATTTGAGGAATTGCCAAATTATCAAGGGGCACGGGGAACATACCAATGGGGAAAATAATGTAATCAATTTAAGGAAAAACACTTAGGAATCAATTTTCAAATATTTTGCTATATTTTGGGAATTAATGTTTTTCTCTGTAAAAGAAATCAATGTTTTCTATAATTCATTTCGACGGTTGTAATGGTATCACACTGTACTGAAATCGTTTCAAGTTCGTTAGAATCTCACTAGGTTTTGTACAAAAATATGGGAATACTCGAACCAAGGTTTCCTACACCCAATAACACACAGTTTCCAGATCATTTTACACCAAACACAAGTATACTCGTAGCTGGCAACTCTTCTGCTTTCCTTTCAAATTTTCACACATTTACCATTAGGATAAATAAATATTTTAAAGGCACATTCCCTAGACGCCATTTGACTTCAGTTTTGTTGTAATTTGTGTGCTAATTTCCTGCCACAGAGTTCTTCAGAGGGAAGGAGCCAAACATTTGAGCAAGACATTCCGTCAACAGCCACCAAACGGGGAAAAGATTTGCATATCTTTTGAGCCTCTCAGACTCAGCCTGTGAAATGCAAGCTCTACCCCCTTAACCTCTGCAAGGGTTCGGGAACCCAGCCCACTCCCAAGCCCAATCCGCAGCTCCATGGCGCCGCCTTTAGTGGTTCCTAGAGCCCAAACCCACTCTATTTATTCGTGTTGCTGCTGCTCATCCTTGTGGCACTGTGATGTGGCAGCGCCCACATTCTCCATACGTTTTGACAGCTGCTTGGCTGCTGCTGCTGCTGGTGCTGCTCCTTCTGCGGTTGCCAACTTTGGCTTTTGACTGGAGCAGACATCTTGCCTGGCAAATTACCACAGCCAGAACAGAGAGAGAGAGAGAGAGGCAGAAAGGGATGGAATAGCGGGATGGAGGGAGCTTGGAATTTTCATCACTTAATTGACATGTCTGGGATTTGTGCGTAACCTTTGCTTGGATAGTGATTAGTCGCCGTCTAACCGAAGAATATCCATTAACTGAAATAAGGCAAGACAGCAGCAGCAGAGCTGAAATTATAGCTCGATAAACAAGACTCCATGTTGGAGTTTCGGGTTGGAAGTGGATGTCTCGTCTGTACCGCAAAATGCAAATATCTTTTGCACAGAAGCGGGTCCTTGCTGACTATGATGACTGACAATGGTCATGGTTTTGTCCGGGTGCTCATGGTTTCTACATGAGTCTGTTCTGAAAATTGCAAAACGGGTTCAAATATGCAAAAGCCGAGGACCGAGGCCAAGGGTTTCCCCAGACACTTTTACCAGGTAAAAACCACAAAGCGTAAAAATGGTATATGAAGCCTGTCAGGTCGTGTCCTTCCCTTACATCTCCAGCTATAGCTACAGCTCCCAGCCACCCAACCACCCAGTCGCCCAATTGTTTCGTGTGCATCTGCCAATTAAACCCGAGCCGGAGAACGATCTGTCGTTGCCCGGAGTTTGAGGCCCGCCACAAGAAAAGTGAAACCCGTTTGTCATTGACGCAAAATGTCACTTGTCGTTGTCAGGCTTCCAGAAAGACCTCCTCTTTACCGCTCCATCCTTCGTCCTTCATCCTCCATCCTTCCTCCTCCTCCTGCATTGAACCACTCTACAGTGCGTCATAAGCGGGTTATGGCATTTTCCTTTTGGTTCGAGAAAACGAGCTGAAAACTGGTAGCTGCAGGACAAGCAGGAGATGGAAGTGTAGACGGAGATTGGGAGCTTCATCTGGATGTAACTACGCACAGATGGCAGTTAGAGATATCTATGTGACTCACTTGCTATTGGAGTGAAGTTTAAATCTAGTTTGGAAATCCATTTGGATGTGGTTCGAAGGCAAAAATGTATTTGGCAACCATTTGAAGCTGTTGTCACAATCTTTGTCTCTAAGCTGAGTGCCTGATATTATATTTACACTATTTTTCCAATGGAGTCTACTCAGTTTTAACAGCTGTTTGCTAAACAGCAAGAATGGAAAGGGAGATCACAAAGTACCAGCTTAACAGGCCAGGCTATATAGTTGTTCGTTAACAGTCTGTTAACGCTCTCGGTTACAGCTCACTGTTAGCGGGCAATGTTACCGCTCTTACGATCCACACACCTCTCGAGTGGCTAAGCTTGTAAGCTAGATATACAACAACAACTTTCAGCTCTTTTCAAATAAGTAGCCCATAAGAAAGAGTATCTCCCGTGCATGCCTAACTTACAGTATTCTCCCCAAATTGACCTTGATTGGGAAAGTTGCAAATCCAAATCCAAATCGCAAGTCAATTTAATTGAAGGCGAGTACGAGCAGCAGCTGTTTGCTTGCCGTTACCCTTTTGACATTTAATTAATATGCAAATGACGCCAAGGATCCCAGGCAACCCGGCAGCAGCAGCAGCAGCAGCAGCCTTCCAACATCCGCTTTATGTCCCTCCATGCCAACTGGCACTCCGTGTGGCACCTCCGTGTGGCCCGCCGCAGCACATGCGATGGCCACTTCTTTCGGTATCCTCTCACAGCATCTCCCTGGCAGGGCGAACAAACAAAGACGAGGAATTAGAAAGCCAGCTTAGTCATTCCGCTGGCGTCGCAGGATTCGTGCATAGTTTCAATTGCCACCGCAGCAGTGCGAATGGGATGGGGATTGGGGTATAGGGAATGGCTGAGGGAATCGCTGGATATCCTTGGGTGTCCCACAGGAATGCCCCGCTCGGAATTTACGAGCCGCTTGAGATTAGTTTCTCCCCTCTGGTTGTTTGCTTTAATTGCGACCATGGACACGGGGCGTGGCAATGTCGTCGAGTCAGCAGCCAGAGGACAACAGCAACAAAATAAGCAAACAGCATAAGTCGCGAGCCCAAAGGCACATCTCCATCCTACATCCTTCTGCCACATTCCACATACGCCGTGTGGGGCATGGCAATGGAGCCTGTGCCTGTGCCTGTCTGGTCTGCCCCCAAAGATGGGTGTCGCTGCATTGTAAATATTGCATTGGACAAGCTCAAATAAACACACTTATCGCAACGAATGGGTCGCATGGGGGATCGTAAACCTATATGTTTTGTATATGTGTTTCGTATCGTATCTCTGATGCATAAATTGTTGTCCCTCTCTCTCTCTCTTTCTGTTTCTCTGCGTGTGTGTGTGTGTGTGTGTGTATTTGTGCCACAATTTTATATCTTATTTATTTCAATTTTTTGCCCATTCGTTGTCGCGACGTGTTCTGTTTTATTCGAATGCTTTCATTCTTTCATTCTCTCTCTCGCCTTTTTTTTCTGTACCATCCTTTGGGATGCAATTTTAAAATATTGCACAGACGACTACGAGCACCATTTATTTTATACTTTTTTATTGTCGCCATTGACGGGGCCGTTGAGTTGAGTGATTGCAATAAATTATTACCGAAACCCATGGAGCAGGCAGAGCTTGGAGTGTATTTTCTTAAGCGTTTCTTAAACGAAGATTCTTGAATGGAATTGACAACTGAAGAGGATTGAAAATATGTACTTTCAACTCCAATAATTTATGCTGGACCTGCTGGATGTTAAAAAAAAAACAACTTTGAAGTTTTGAATTTTTCTAATGTTTCCTATGTTGAAATATATTTCGTAATAATTTTGATACACTTAAAGGCTGCATTTGAAGAATAGAAGCTTCCATATCAGCACAGAGGTGCTGTCACCCCCGTCTATCTACTTGCCCTGGACTTTGAACGCGGTCCGCGGCGATTTACTGATCTCCTTGCTGGCTGTCGGGAATATCCTCTGTCCCGCTGCCTGGCCAGGCGCTGCTCCCTCCTTTCGTTTTTGGCCTCCTGCTCGGCCACTATTGACAGCACACTCTCTGACGGGAGATCATCTATGACACCGAAGTACAACTGCAGTCCATCCATCTGGATGGTCTCGAACACGAAAGCCATTTCCACCGTTAGCATACAGATGGTCCATGCGAATGGCTGCACTGTGTTCAGTTTGTCAACGTGTTTGTCACTCAACAAACTGCGTGCACTATTGAAGAGAGCCTCCACTATGGCCTGCAGCGAACAGTAGGCGACATACCACACGGTCACCAAAAGCACCTGCATCGTCAGGCAGATGAAAATTATCTCCGCCGTTGTCTCCCAAAGGGTTTTGTATGATTTCCGGTAGCCCTGCAGTTTGTTTAGTGCCACAATGGAAATCAGTATGAAGAGCGTCGACTCCAGTCCCACATAGCCGGCGGGATCGTAGCAGAGCTCCATTTGTTGGCAGAAGATTGCTATGATCGTGGCAATAACGAAGCTCGGTTCCATTTTGATTAAAAATATTATTTAAAAATATAATATAATTTTTAAATTTACGGTAGAGTATTTCTACTCCCTAAACTATACTGACATTAAAGCCAAACCAAAGCTACTGCTTAACATACATTTTTTGTTTATTTTGCCTTTTCAGGTTCCTTTGATAATAGTTTTGAAGTATCAAATATTTAAAACCCAATAAATGCCGGGTCTGGACGTTATTTTATAATATTTTTATTATATTGCTTAAGTTTTGTAAATAAATGAATTAAGATTAAAGAAATATTTTCTTTTTTTCCAATCTGGCAGCGTCGCATCTGCAAATCGAAACAAAGTTCAGGTTCCCCTTGCGGTTCCACTGAACTAGTTTAGTCTGTGGTTCATTGTAGCGTCCACTGCATATGTTTATACAAATATACTCAATAACAAGTAGTATGTGTTAAATAAAGAATATTCCACAGATTTTTATTATATAATATACAAATTTGTTTCAGTAAAATAAACGCGAAAGCTGATTGTTAAAGCTTACTTTTATTAGTTATCGATAGTCGTTGGTGAACTAGTTCCGAGGACTGTTTGAAGCGTCTCATCGCTTCATTGCCACCTTGCACCTTTTTTGTGATCCACATTCAAATAAGTTTACTTCGTTTTTATTTATGTACATAGTAGGCCAAGATATGTATCTTTGTTTTATTGCCACATGGCAACCTTTTTGATGAATTCATCAGTTTTAATTGTGCTTCAGTCCCGAGCGGATCTAACTTCGTAAAAAACGGAATAAATTGTTCCAAAAGAATTGTGTTTTGTTTAATTTGCTTGTGCTTAAATTGTTTATTGAAAAATGCAGTACCTGTCCGATGCAAACTATCGTCAAAATGTGAATCTTCGCGTAAGTTTCAGTGGAGTCCAGTGGGATAGGGCCGTAAGCATGTATTATAATTCGAGTGTTTGCAGATGCCTGGGCAGAGTCCGCCCTATTATCCGGACAGATTGACTGACCGCTCTGTCCCGAACGTGGATGAGATTCTTAGGCGTGGCGAACCCATGCCCGACCGCTACGGGGATGTTCGACGGGCCACCAATTGTCCGCCGCCACCGATGCCACCAGCGGCGCCGCAGAGTGTTGGTTGGCTCTGGAGTCCACGTCGCAACGCATTGCCTTTGGATCCTCACTTCAATGCTCGGCGCAATGAGCTGCCTGCTGATCCCCAGCACGAGGATTTCTCAAAGCATGATGGAAACTATACGTACGCATTCAATTCAATGCGGCCAGGAGGCCGTGCCGATTACGGCTTTCCTATTGACACACGTCGCAGTGTTTCCCCCATTGCCACACGCCGCAATGGATCCCCAATTCATACACGTCGCAATGAACCGCCTACTGATCTGGCAAACTATATGAACATATTCAGTGAAAACCTTCCAGAAGGTCGTGCCAACGAATCTCCTACTGATCCACGACTAAATGTATCCTATATTGGTCAGCGTCGCACAGGATCTCCTATCGGTCGCGGTCGCAGTGTATCCCCTATTGATACACAACGTGACTATGCCAACAGCTTTAGTCAAAACCTTCCAGGCGGGCCAGCAATGTTCAATGCCATGAGTGCCCTACCCGTGGTCCGCAACATGGACTCCATCAATCCATCTGGTAAATATTGCCGGCATGCTTTGGCTGGTTGCTGTTCGCTTATTGTGGGCTTTTGCAAATACCTTTTCAGATCCACACTTTCATACCCAAACTTCGCATCAAGAACGTCACCCTACACACTTCAATGCAGAACGCTGGTCCAACTACGATGATGGCAGCTCTGAAAATTACAATGGCAATCGCAGCTTTCAGGATTTCGAGGCCAATCGCAGCTCTCTAAATGTTGATGGCTACGGTGGCTTCCAGAATTTTAATATCAGTCGCATCATCCCTAATATGGATGCAAATAGCCGCTTCCAGAATTTCAATGTCAGCTTCCAAAGTAGCGATGGCAATCGCAGCTCCTTATACTTTAATGACTACCATAGTGGCAACGATTCCGGATTTGTAAACGATCGTCCCAGCTATGGGTCGGAACGTCGTAACTTTGCCAACTTTGGCAACTTTGGCGGCTCATACGATACGAAGAATTATAGTCTGATTGATCAGGGCTTCAATCGTCAGGGAATCAATTCGCTGCTCCATTTGAATACATCTTACCCTCCGGCAAAGGAACGCAAACGCAAGGCAGAGAAACTTGATGATTCCTTGACAGAGAAGCGCGCATGTCCGGAACGTATAGAGAAAGTCTTTCGCATTGGTGGCTTCAGACTGGAGTACGCCACTCATAATACGTTACTCGAGCTGCCCCAGCCGGAAAAGAGATCTCACGCGGTGCGTTTCTTCAAGAAGTATCCCGCCTATCGTATTGGTATCAAGAAATCCAATCCGCCAGCTGCAATCGAAGTCGAATGCAGCTTAATTGAAAGTGATGATATGGAAGACGCGATCATTCGTCACACCATAGCCGAGGAGTGGAAGAAGGTGTATCGCGAGAAGAACTATCGCTCGTGGGGCAGTTGGTGGAACGACTACAAGGATTGCGGAGATGACATATGCAAGGAGCTGCACCAATTCGATAACTACAATGTGCAGAAGAGCTTTCGGCCGCTCGAGGGCCCCATCGATTCAGAGGAATATATCCGCTTGGCTATCGCTGCGCTGAAGGAGAACAACATCACGTATCTGAAGAATATGCAAGATATTTACCGTCTGGTGGACTTTACTGTCCTGGAGAATCTGACCGCTGACGCGTCGGGGCATCTGCAGGACATCATACGCTCCATACCAAATCATTTGTGGCGCTACAAGATGCGCTCCATGATTTTCACGTGGACCTGGTACCAGAAGCTGGCCAACTGCGAGAACCCCGTCGATGAGACGCGCCAGAGCATAATGCCTTTGTGGAACAATCCGATCTTGCACTGGCTGGCCAAGCAGGCCTTCGATGAGTTGATTCTCCTCAGCAAGGTCGAGAGCAGCAATTTGAAGGAGGCTCACCCCCAGGGTCCACCCAAGCAAAGCAGCGATCCCGACCAAGAGAAAGAGTCTTGAATTTCCTATTGTACTTTTGTATAATCCAAATTGATCGAATAATATAATTTAGCCAATCAATGAAGCTTTATCCCTTTAGCACTGGTACGAGCCCAGCCATATTTTTAGCTCAATTTATTCCAGCTGCTTCAGCTAGCTGCATAAAGTTGTTTAATTTGTTATCCCCAAAGTGCACCTGAGTCTGAGTCTGCAGAAAAGATATACACACACAAAAAAAATATAAATAAAGAAAGAAAACCAAAGGCAAAGGCAAATGAATAAACCAACAGCCACGGAAAATGACGATACAAACCAAAGAGAAGAAGGAAGGGAAACCAACAAAAAAAAAATGCAAAACGCTACTGCATATTAATCCGACAGAGTATTTCACTCAGAAGAGCCCTGGACCTGGACCTGGATCCCGTACAGGGTGCTCTGCACAACGGTGGATGGCGGGACATATCGGGACACGCTGCCTGAGAGATGGGCGACCGCGAAAGACATTTATTGTATCCTTAGCGCGGTTGACAGACGCGTGCTGAGACGATGATGAATTTGCTGCCGCCAATGCCGCACGCCGCACCACCATTTCGGCCTGCCTCCAACTCCATCCGCAGATGACGATGACGGGAGCGTTGAGTGTACAAAGTGAAAAAGGAGGCTGGTGGCGCCCCCGACTGTTGGCCCAACCAAGCGGCAGAAATGGCGACAGACAGCCCTGGAGACAGACTGGGGCTGAGGCTGGGGCAACAGCAGCCCGAACAAGTGACGAAAAAAAAAATGCAAATAAAATGCCGGCTTATTGAGTCAGTGGTGGTGGGTGCTGGTTGCTGGTTGTTGGTTGCGGGTGCCACAGAAAAAGACACTCGTGTGTCTTGGCTGTGTGGTGCCTGGCAGTTGGGGCCAAAGAAGACACTTTTTAGTTGATTGAAAAAGGTGATGTCAAGGCTCATTTTTTTTTTTATCCTTTCTGCTATTTTATGCTTTGTTGACCTTTTTTTTCTCAGTTAAATATTATACAAGTTTTTCACTTTGATAGGCAAATGCTTTAGCTATTCCAAGTATTAAAGTGGAACCAGTACAAATATTCAAGAAAATTCTGGTAGGTTGATAAATATTCCATTTGTGGTAGGGAATCATAGAAAGTGGCTGATACATGGTGAACAATATATTTTGTGATAATTATATACCTATTTAGTGGTATTTTATTCATATTCATTCTTTGTGCTCGTTTATTCTTTTAGTTCTTATTTATTGTTGTTGAGTCTCTGCATTTGGTTGCCTCTTATGAGATTCTCGTGTTCTTGTGGTGATATTCTGCACAAGTTTCACCAAGGATTATATTAATGATACAAACTAATAGAAAACTTTTCCATAACTTCTTCAGGGTGGAAAAAACACACAAAAATAAAGGTATTCCTATACTAAGGACTATAACTCTTAGAGGAAGTACTCAGCTTGAGGATTCATCCGGGGTGGGCCGCCGCGAGTCGCCTCTTTAGCTGGATGAAAGATGGAAAAGCTAAGCTGCAGGTTCTCGTTCAATTTCAGAAAAGCGGCCACATTGCCGCAACGATAGCAATAGTTGGGTGCCGACCAGACGGTCAGTACGGTCTGCTCAAAATGCCATTTGTATCCCTCCATGACCAGCTGGTGGGCCCGACAGATGACATCAAGATCGTTGACTCTGTTAAATTCAGCAACAACGTCGTAGCCGAAGAGATAGCCGGCTCCACGTGGAGAAATACTCCAGCCAATTTGATCTTCTGGATCGCTCCACATTAGGTCACACATGCTGCCATCGTGGGGCGTCTCCATCTTGCGATCGATGACGCGGATCTGGTCCAGGCGCGTTATTGACGGCGATAGGCCACCGTGGACACAGAATATCTTGCCATCGATGATGGCCGAAAGACTCAGATAGTCAAAGACTTCCGTGAAGTAGCGCCAGACGGCCGAGGTTCCATACTTGAGCAGGCACTCATCATAGAACCCATAGACCTGGGTGATCTGGCGACACTCGTGATTGCCGCGTATCAAAGTAATGCGATCCGGATAGCGCACCTTCAGGGCCAGCAGCAGCTGGATTGTCTCCACGCTGTAGAATCCACGATCCACAAAGTCACCTAGAAAGAGATAATTGTTGGCGGGCACATCGCCGCCAATGCGGAACAGCTCCATGACATCGTAGAACTGTCCGTGCACGTCACCGACAACAATCACGGGTGTGTCCACACGCTGTACATTCGCCTCTTCAACGAGAATCTCACGGGCTTTGTGGCACAAGACTCGCACCTCGTTCTCCCCGAGGGCTACGCACCGCTTCAGCTGCTCGATCTGGCGATCTAAGTCGAAAGATTGGGACATGTTGTCTGCAGGAAGAAATGGTGGCTAAATGTAGAATAAATGGGGCTACATGTTGCTTGATTCTTACTTAAAATTTAGGTACAATTCTTTCAACAATATTTTTATTTGTGGTTAGCAACGTGCACGCTCGTTTCTCGTTTTTGTTTTTGCTTCTCGTCACTTTTTAGTAGCAGCCAAAGTTGTAGCCCGGCTGTAAACTTTTTCAAGGAGTTGTTTAAACTATTTACCAACACAATTTGATTGATTACTTGAATTATTTTACACTCGAAGCAGCAAATAAACAAATTTTCAATGCAGTGTTGTTGTTGATGTTGTTGAAGCCGCTGCCTCGTGGGTTGTGCAATGCAAAACAAAAACATGTGACGAGTGTGGAGTAAAGAAAATTGTTGAAGACTGGTGGGAGTTTAACTAATGCAACTACAAGGAGTATTCTTTGGACTATTTACCTGAACAATAAGATGAAATATTGTATTTATATTAATCTGCGTCAAATTCCTTGTAATGTCAGCCACCAAGTCCTATCGAGTACGTGCTTTGTCTGTCGATGGCACACGCAATTTGATCGATGTATCGATCAAGCTAATTGCATACCAGAAACACTCTGAAAGATCAAACTGATTGATTCTCGTATTTAATTTACAATATTTACAATAATGCAAAAATGCATAATAAAAATGCAACATTTTCTATATAATTTCTGCGTAATATATTAGCTATATGCTATCGATATGTCATTTAAGTTTAGTCGAACAATCGAGCAGAAGTAAAAGCAGGAAAAGTTCTGCTTGTCCCATCAAGGTAGTATCCTTTAGAGGTTTCCTTGTACTAGTTTTGCATTGCAACTAATTAATTTTATTTATCATTTATATATGTGCCATCACCACATCTCTGCCTATCGAGTCAGCTGTTTGCCGTTGATAGGACTTGGAGTCCTATCGAAGCAACTCGAATTCAAGTTTCAAACGAATCGAATTCCATTCGCTGCAGGAATCAATAGGAATGCATTTCCTTCACAGATATTTTGATAGCGAACGCACATAATTTGCGTCAGTCGCTCAATGACGTCGAGTGCAAAAGGAAAATCAGCGCGAGACATGTAGGTGGAAAAGCAGAAACACAAAGGTTATATGCTAGCAGAAAATTGTAATAAAATGGTGAACAAGACGAACAAGTACTATACGTGTCGAGTGCAGATACAAGCAATGCCGCACGGCAGAGTCAGATAACCCGCCTCCTCGAGCACAGTTGGATATCGCATGCTTACGCATTTATCAGGGCCGGGACAGAGCCAGAGGCTGCCTACACATGAGGCCAGGTCAACGCTATAATATTTAATTTAAAATTGTATCCCCAGGCATTTGCTTTTCCTTATGACTTTGCGAAGGCAAGCGAGCGGCAAATGAAAAAGTGTCACACTTTACCAGCTCCTCGCCAGAGAGCCACTGGCAGTGGCTTATAAAAGGAAACTGACTGTCTCCCAAAAAAAACTCTCCCTAAGTCGCTCTAAATCAAATTGCAGATGGGGGCAGGGAAACGATTTTTGTGGATTTGTGTGCCAAGTTGAACGATGTTTTATCCGCAGGGAAGGGGATACACTCTGTCAGATTGTAGGTGCAAATGTGTACCAGGCATCGGGCTATATGGTCATGGAAATATTACACTTTATTTTGTGACATGTATCGTTAACCCTTTACAAGACAAATTTTGAGGCTTCTTTCGAAGCCGCACACACACTGCCCTGCATTGTAATTAATTAAATTCAATTAGGAACAAAGTACGCACGTACAGAGCCACAGCTACAGGCAGCAGCGCTGCTCAATCATCATTTAAATTTTGGCCAAAACGAAATTAACCAAAATAGCGGGAAAGGAGAAGATAAAGGGGAACTGGCAGGACAATGCATGACAATGTAATTGGTAATCTGCGTACAAAGTGAGTGTGCTCCAATGCTAATTGAAAATTAAATCAGATTCTCATAATTCACTTACACGAAATTTCCACCTTAAATTGGAAGCTGAAGAGCGAAAGCCTGGCGCCTGGCGCCTGAAGCTGGTCGGGTCGGGTCGGGTCGAGTCTGCATTCCCCCGTTGATATATCATTATCGCCTTATGCAATTGATGAAATATTTGCAGATATTTTCAGATATTTGCAAATATGGCCAATGATTTCACTGATTAATAAATTATTCTTTATTAAACATCGTTATGCAAATTTGGATGCAGTGAGGAAATCAGAGGTGACAAAGCAGCGGAAATACGACACATGAATAAATATTTATACCAAAAAAAAATATCAATTAATTTGCAATTAATCACAGATTCATTACAACGTTCAGGAGTCAAAAACAATTTAAATCAATGCACTGCAGAGTTGATTAAATTAAATAAAAATAGCTTTAAATATGAAGTAATCAAGTTAAATATTTTCTATGGGTCGCCTATGCAAATACTGTCCCACAGCATGCTCAGAATATGTCAGTTCTCTGGTAGAACAAAACAAGTCAATAATAAATTTGATCATATTTTTTATATACAGTAAACAGAGAGAGAAAGAGCAGCGAAACGACATGGCATCGGTTAGCAACCCACAAAGTCTGATATTTAGTGCTCCATACAATCGCGTCCAGAGGCAAGTGCTTACATTGATCAATCCCACGAAGTGGGTGCTGCTCTTTAAGCTGAAAACAAACGCGGTGCAACACTACAGCGTCCGTCCCCCCTCCGGGCAGGTGCAACCCTTAAGCACCGCTACGGTCATCATTACCCTGAGCTACTTTCAGTTCCAGTCGAATATTTGCTATCGCCATCGTTTCAGCGTTCAGTCCATCTATCGTCCAGTCAATGGACTGCGCCAGGGTGAGTCCGCTCTAAGTATCTTTCAGCGGACTCCACGCTCAGATATATGGGTGGCGAGCATTCCCGTGCGCCTGGAACCCCCTCCACTGACACCATCCCAGTTGAATCTGGTCTTGAATGTGAACCATGGCGACAAAGAGATCGGGAATGTGTTCAAGCTCTCAGATATCTTATCCAAAAGCGGGGATGAGGTGGAAGAGGAGCCGCTGCTAAAGAAGATGCCGCAGCGGAAGGAGCTGGGCCTGCAGAAACAGACAGCGAAGCAGCAGGAGAAGAAGCAGTTTGATCCGGAGGTTTTACAGCAGAGGCTACAGAAGTCAAACCACAAGCAACGTATCTGGTTGCTCTTGTTTATTTGTTTAATCCTTGGATTCCATGTGGCAGGTAAGCAGTGGAGAGGGAGGGTCATTTATCCTGAACAGTTTACATGGGCTTGATCGTTTTATTCAGTTATATTTGCAGGCTGTCTGATAATTTCGATTATTGTCAAGTGCATCCAGTACACCTTTAAGTTCTCGAACTATGAGCAATTCTTGAATTATCTAAACATATTAAACTTTGAGAAATTTTGGAACTATTGCGAAAACTCAATTGGGAGTCTCTTGAAATATGAGAAGCTCTTGGATGGTAAGAATATCTTGACTGTGGATCTCTTGAATTATCTGAAGTCTTGCTGTTATGAAAATGTTTTAAAATATATGGATTTGAGTAATTTGCTCACCCTTGGAGCACCACACAAACAAACGTTTCCTGACAACTACGAGTCCATGCTAAATTTTTCTTATGTTGGTAAAGTTTAATTAATAAATAATGATTGTGAAAACGATAAAATATATTTTAAAGGTGCAAAAACATATTAAATTGCAATTCGTAACAAAATTAAATGATTCAAAGAATTGTGTATCAACTTATTGTTACTTTGGTAGCTAAATAAAAATAGAGATATACATTTTATGGAGTGGGATATACTTATGCATATGTGTTATGTTTTGATCAAGACATAGGGCATACAGGAAATGGTATATCGGGTGAGGTTTTGATGAAGATCAGGGAATATATGTACAAATATAGAATAAGGAAAAGGCCTATTAAAGTCAGAAATTATACCTCTAATCGATATGTCTTGGGCAAGGATTAAAAAAATAAAACCCTTTCGATAAATCCAATAGTATCTTCCTCCCACGTTCCACAATATCCACCAGCTCCGCTCCACAAAGGTGGACAGCACATGCCAATCAACGCAATGCATCAATAATTTGTGTATTGCTTTTTAGCTTTTGCATTAAAATAACCACTAGAAGCCAGGAATTTTTTCCATAAATATTAAAATGACATTGTTACAACATTCCACTTAAAGCAAATAGTCAAATGCAAGCATAAATCACCAACAAAACAGAACCGAACAAAGTGGCAAAAAGTGAAACCTGAAATTATTATTTTTATTCTTCTTTACTTTATAACTAATAAAATGCGAGACGAGTGTTTGCAGACTGCATAAATTGCCAGAGCATTTGTAAATATTTTAGTTTCGTGTGCAATGCTGCACAAATAACATCGGAGTCAGCAGCCAGGGGAATGGGAATGGGACTGAGGAGTCCTCTTATATTTTTTATGACAGTGCAACGAGTAAAACTAAATATTTATTCAACAAATATGCAATAGAATTTATGACAGCATATTGCCAACTATTTTGGTTGCATTTCTACCCATTTCAAACGTCCACTTTGTACCCCCTTAACAAGCATTTCTACAACATTTCCACCTATAACACCCATTTAATAACAAAGTTAGAGATCATTTTGCACATTTTGACTTTTCGAGCATTGCATGACAAATTGCATTTGAGGTTTTTCACCTGAACATTGATTTAATTATCAAATGAATTTCCTTTTTCCTCTTTTGACCAAAAATGCCAGAAAGAACTCCCAAAAAAGGTGGTTTAATTTTGCCCAATTTTCACCAAGCCAATACATACAGAGGCACAGCACACACAGAGGCACGGCATGGCACACACACAAATGCATATGGAATTTGAGAGCTGAGTTTCCATATTGACTCCACTCCTTGCTTCCTGTGCGATGTCCTTCTGTTGTCTGGCGGCTGTCTGCTCGTTTGAGTAATTTCATTATGAGTTTTAAGACTTTTAATTAATTTAAAAGTGAACAATTTTACACTCTTTTCATAACAACTTCCAATGGGTCTGCCACTGCCACTGGCACTGGCTCTTGCTCTGGCACTGACTCTGACTCTGTCCCGCCAGTCCATTCGTCTGAGTGTCTGCCTCTCTCCAGATGGTCTGCCTTTGTCCGGCGTCTGAGTCTGGGCGTCTGGGGTCCAGCTTCGGGTCCGGAAGAGTGGCATAATTTCCGCACAAAACTTGATGCAAGCATTTCATCTGCAATTCGAGTGCAAGGACCAGACTCAACAAGGAGCAACTGGCATCAACAGCATTCAATTAATTTCCCAAACGAAACGAAACTTCTGCCCCGTCCAGCATCCGGCATTGTTACGAACTTTAATGCTTATTTGCGGCAACAAAAGTGCGGATTATGCGGCAACATCATGGAACTTGTATCGACTCGTTAAGTTTGTTAACTTGCAAATGAAATCAAAGTGAGCCATGAAATGTCAATAACATTCCCAAAACCAATCCGTAGTGCTTCATGGAATCAGTATAATTCTGACATTGAAACTATACACAACAAACGAAAAATTCTCTCATACAAATACTCGACAAAAACTTACTAGAGAAAACACAGCAAGCATGTCGGCCGAAGTGGAGGAGATGCTGAAGCGTTTCCAGTCCTTGAAGAACGTTGTGGGCATCATGGTGATTGACAACGACGGCATACCGATCAAGACCACCCTGGACAACACCCTGACTGTGCACTATGCGGCCACGATGCAGACCCTGCGGGAGAAGGCACGCCAAGTGGTCTTCGACTTGGATGCCACCAACGAGTTCTTGTTCCTGCGTATGCGTACGCTGAACCATGAGGTTATGCTGTGCCCGAAGGACGATTACTTTTTGGTGGTCATACAGAAGCCATCCGAATAGGCAACAACAACCAAAAATTACGTTACTGAATAAAACTTAAAAATTGAATTGCAGTCATTAAAGTATTTATCATATCGGACATGTGTGGCTTTACCACACACTGTTGAGCCTCCTCCACATCTCATTTGCTATAAAAGTCAATTATATTGAATTAAAGAAATGTTCGGTAAATGAAATGTTATTAACATATTCACCAATACGCACAGGCAGACAGGCCCATGCCAATGGTTGGGGGGGATTGGGCTCCTAAAGGGCTGGGCTTTAGGCATTCGTCATTGAACATTTCAGCAGCACCATTAATGGTATTCGGCTGCGCTGCAAATTATTTGCATTGGGAATTGGAATTGAATTGAAATGCCATTTGTGCGTGGTGAGTCTTATTCAATATGTATCCGTATACCCACACATTGCTGCACAGTTCTCGCGACTCCACGCTCTTCTCCACCATTGGGCCACAGCCTGATCCTGTGCCGGCAAACTCATTTACAATAAATGAAGACTGACTGAGGCAGCAACCGCCACGAAACAAATGAACTTTTTTTTATATTTTGTGGCCCTTGACAGGATGCAGGAGCACATGCGAGGCTGGTGGTGGTGCTGCTGCTGCTGAGGGTTTTGCTATTTTTCATTTAATTAAATATTTAACATGCAAAGTGCATTATGAGCCACCAGGCAGAATGAAGGAGGCACGAGCACATGAGCACACGAGCTCTCATCCATACACCGCAGACGATAACTAAGTAAAGTCTGTCGGTGGGAATGGCACACAGGATGGATGCTGGCTGGGAGGACATCGACGGTTATCCATCTGTCTCTGTCCCTGTTCCTGTCCCTGTCTCGTTTTGTCGAGGGCAAAGCTGTTGGCTTGTGATAATTCCATAAACATCAAATTGCATGAAGTGCGTTCAAGCGAAGTGCAAAATGGTTGCAAAATCGGTTAAGTGTGTCACAGGAGCAGCACCAGAACGAGGACAGGACCAGCACCAAGACCACCAGGACCAGCACCAGGCACTGGAAAGGACAGGACATCTCCTGCGGTCACTTGCAGGTGCTCTCAATGATGCAGATATACAGATATAAGGGTCGTTGATTTGTTAGTCCTGGCTGAGTGAATCTTGAAGCCATTGCAGGCAAACATTAGCTATGGATAATAGATGAAACTATGGATTAGTAATAAGTCGTGCCATAAACATTAAAAATGCTTGATAACTTTAAATTTATCTCTGAACATCTTCAGGAATAACCATTGTTTCGACTCGAATAAACCAACCCTATGCAAGGTAGTACAATTTTCTTTTTAACCAATCAATTGTTTTGGGTATCGGCCCTGCAAATGTCGTGTCAAAATTATGCTCAATGTTCACTTCTAACAGGGCAATAACGCTGTTAACACCCCAGTTACAGCTCACTGTTAGCGCGCTCTGACAGCGCCCTGCTCGACTCTCGAGCGGATTATCGTTTTCGAGCTCATCGTTAGAGAACTCCTCCTTCATCTACAACTTTATTCACCCTTTTACAAACACCATCGATTTATACTTAAGGAATGTCAGTGGTAAACGTTACTGTCAGCAGCTCAAAGAATATACAAATTTTCGTATCACTCATCATAACAGTTTAGAATCAGCCTACAAATATTCTTTTTTTACCTCAGTTAACTTTATGCCTCTTCCAAATCATTTATAAATTAGATGTAGGTCCCACAACAACCGATATTTATCTGTCAGCATGTCCAGTTCAATTGAATTTTTGTGTATCACAACCATCCAAGTAATAGATAAGTAAAACAATAGCCGAAAAACTGTTTCCTGCATCTGCCGTTTATCAGACCCGTTCCTGTGTAACCAACCAGTCAATTGAAGCTTCAATTGGCGAAGCAACAGGAAGCCGCGTGTAGCGCCATGTCATCATCGAAACAGGCTCCGCGCACAATGCCAAAACCCAAAAGTTGCGGCCACCTACCGTGGCTGCGAGAAGCCTTCAAGCAGCACGAACATCGCGGGGATGGGAAGATATCCGTGTCCCATCTGGGGGATTGCCTGCGCGTGATGGGCGCCAATCCGATGGAGTCTGTGTTGCAGCACCACGTCCACCAGCTGCAGGCAGCGGATCTGCAACGCATCTCCTTCGAGGAGGTCCTGGGCATCTACTCCAACCTGGGCAAGGACTCGGGTGTGCTGTATGGCAACATGGGCCAGCAGAAGGCTGAAGAGTTCATCTCCAGCTTGCGCTTGCTGGATGACCAGGGCACTGGCTACCTGCCCGCCGCCAGATTGCGACACGTGCTAACCAAATGCAGCGAACGCCTCAGCGAGGCGGAGATGGATGACCTGCTGGAGGAGCGTGTCAACGATCAGGGCCTGGTCAACTATGCGGAGCTGGTGCATGCCATTTTGGATGGTTAGAAAAATAGAGTTTGAGTTGACTTACAATAAATGTGTGTGGGACCATAATGTTCTTTCTATAGCCAATCATTTCGCAACTCTAGGCCGCCAGGCAATTCCATTCTGCACTGGCCACGACCCAGAAATGCAACTCGCGGCATCAATTGACAGTTGAGTTCATCATCATTTCGGTTTTGTGGGTATGACTGGACTAAAGTGGAATTGATGGCAAAAGCCCCCACCATTTGGCAGCGCAACGGCATGGTTATGCGTGAGAATGCCACCACCAGCAGCTTTGGTCAGCGATTCAGTCAGCAGTTGGTTTGGGCACTGGGCCAAACACGGCCTGGCCTTTTCTGGATAGTTGGAATGGACGAGTAGACGAGTATGCAAATGCTGTCAAAAACATTTGTAGCTCAAAATTGCCGACACGATTCCCAACAAAATTCAGTTCTCATGGACGACAACAACGGCAAAAGTAGCAGCAAACACGAGGGCAATCATCGCTCGAAAGATACACACGGGAAGGAATGTGATGGCTGCGACCTTCTGTGCACCAGTCCAAAAAACATTATATTCTACGCTCCGTACGATCGGATCCAGAGGCGTATACTGACCCTTACGAATCTCTATCCACATCCAGTGCTCTTCAAAGTGAAGTCAAATGCTGGGCAAACCTACCACGTCAGTCGAGCCACCGGTCTGGTCGAACCCTACAGCTCCCTGGAGGTCAACATCTCTCTGAATCACTTTGACTTCCGAGCCGAATGCCAGTATCGCCATCACTTCTGCGTTCAGTCGATCGTGTGCCCGTCTACTGGTGTCAAAAAGGACAGCGACTCCACTTCCATTCTAGCCATCTTTAAGAAGATACCCGAAACAGAGCTTTGCATTAGGCGCATCAACGTTGACCTGCAGACCGCTCCCGTGGCGCCCCCATCTAGGTCGCTGCTGGACTCTGCGGCTTTGACAATCCGTAGGGCCTCACAGCGCGTGATTATCAACCAGGTCGTAGCGCTGGCAGCTCACAGCCAAAATGAGCCTGCCAACGAGTTCAATGAAACTCGTGCCAATCCGACCGCTGAGTGCAATGATGCCATTACCATCAGTAACGACTCGGAGGTGAATGATTTGAATATCCGAGCGAATATTCGCATATCCTTGAACGAGTTTCCAGAGACGTATCAGATAATCTTACTGGGCGGAGCCGTTGTGGGAGGTAAGCAGAGGCTTCTCTTCCGTAACAATTAACATGGCTTTGATCCTGCTTTTCTTCCTTGTAGTTATACTTATAGTTATAATGAATCCTGACGAGATAGATACGCTTTTAAACATGCTCATGGGCTTCGTCAGCTCCAGAGTACTAAACACTTCAGCGGGCTCAGAGTCGAATAGCTACGACACAAAGACTGCTCCTCCCACCAGCTGCCAGAATATGCCAGATGGTGCTCCGTGTCATCAAGAATAATGTTTCAATTTATATATTGGTTAATTAAATTCCAGATTTAAGCTGTGCACAATAATTCAATGTATTATTTTCCCTCCATCACTCCCAGGACTGGCGGAAACTGTGGGTCTGTTTTAGGTTCAGGTCATCTCTGCATCTCCTCCGGCTAATCAGTTTGAAAGCGGAGGCCATGGCCATTGGCTAATTGGCGGCCATAGTTCATTAGCGTGTGAATCCCACGCTGATTAGGCGATTGCACTCGCATTAGGTGTCGTTCCCATAAACACAATCAGCACCACCCAGCCAGCGCCCACCCAGCCCCAAACAACCACAGCAACAATAATAGGGATGACCTGCGGTGAGGTGTGCATGGGAGTGCGCTCTGATTGTTGTGACCTAATTGGAATTTACCTGATATAATGCTTTATGGCTAAACACGAGCATTTTATGAGCTTCTCGAATGTTTTCAGTGAATACCAATACCGATATGACCACATCATAAATCGCTAAATCCGCAGCCTAAGCTATAATTAGTATGCGTGCTGGATAACGGTTTATTTATTATTTGATGTCTTTATTTATGTATATTATAACACACAGCATTGCAAATAAGTGCGGTCTTTAAAAGCGTGTCGATCGCTTGGCTCTCTCTCCTCTCTTAGCTAAAATCGCAGACCGCTTTAAGTCTCTCTCTCGGTGTTACTTGCGCTGTTAGCTCTACAGCCTATGTTACTCTCTGTTAGCTCTACAGACTCTGTTACTTTCTGTTAGCTCTACAGATTCTGTTACTTTCTGTTAGCTCTACAGACTCTGTTACTCTCTGTTAGCTCTACAGACTCTGTTACTTTCTGTGACTCCCACACTCTTTTATGATCGGTGGGCTACACACAAAATCCCACATATTACGTATACCATTTAATGTTTGTCATATAATAAACGTAATATATGTACATGTTTTCGGCTTGTTGAATTGAAAAGTGAACAGCAAGAACAAGAACTCAACAATGTCAACGGCATACCATTACCAGACAAGTCTGGTAACAATTCCAACTAATCTCAGCTTATAAAGTTTTGCCGAAAACTCCTGGTGGCAATGCCAGGCCAGCCAGATAAACCGAGCAGCAAATGAGCAAAGTCATGCCAACGTCCTTGTCCACGGCCCTGTTGTCCCCTGTATCGGATTCCCTTGGGGGAAAAATGACCCATCCCATTCATCGGAGATGGGCAAAACGAACAAGAAATGCCAGGGCCATAAATTAGCATCACTTAAGTGGGCAGACGTTGGGTGGATGGGAGCATCGGATACCATTGAGGGCTGAGGACCACTGAGGGGGCGTGTAATCCTTTCAGCGATTAATTGCAGAACCTGCAGGCATTGCACGGGGGACGGGACTGTGAGGGAATGTGAATATAAATAGCTAATCAGACAGAGTCTCTGACAAATGTCATATGGGACTGCAAATGATATCGCTAAATCCCCAAACTCAATCAATTGGCCAATTGGACAGCAGGCAGAACCACAATCAAGAGCATTTGATTAGAACTATTTGGACTGTAAGATGTAAGCCCATAATGGCATACAACATGTTGTTGAGCCAAGGAACCAACAATTAAAGACAGAGAACTCAGGTTGAAGTTCTCAGCAGTCACTTATGGGGTGTAACCTTGCGCACCCATTTACCCTCCAACGCTCACGCTCTCTGTCTCTCCCTCTGTGACTCTTTGGCTCATTCTTTCTGTGGTGACTGTGGCTGGGACACACTTTTGATACCATAAATCGTTTTTATGGCTTTCCATTACGTTGGGCAGCGGTAGCACTGTTGCCGTTGCCGTTGGCGTTGCCTGTGGCAGCCTTGCACTCGTAACCCATATTCCATATTCCATTTTACAGTACGCACCGCTTTTTTCGCACTAGGCCACACATTTGTGCAGCCTGTCACCAATCGGTGACTTATGGCATTTTCCATGGTGGGAGTGGTAGTGGGCGTGGGCTGCCCCACCATCTACCACCACCCATCCAATGCAGTGCAGTCAACTGAAAATGCACCGAGCAAATAAACAAAGGAAAAGGTTAAGGAAAAGTCTAAGGGAAATGCATTCAGCAAGGCCGATGCGTGTGGAGGGACTTCTTGGGGTCTTCTCCCGGACTCTGGGGCTTCATTTGCCTGCCAGCAGGGATCTTTTGCCCAAAGAGGGACAGAGAGAGAGAATGTGCAGCACTCTGTTCACCTTGACTCGTTCGTGGATTTTCCTCCTTCATCTGCATCCTTTTCTCGCTCCCTCTCCATTTGCACTGCCCCTTTTTCCGTTGGCATTTCCCGTTTGTTTGGCTTTGTTGTTGGCCTGCCGCTTTAACATTTTTAATGAGTTGCGAGCCAAAGACGAGGGGTGCCGCAGCTGCAGCCGCTGCTGCACCTCTCAAAGCGGTCAAAGTGCAGCAGGGGGCACGCAAATATATGCAACATTCGGGGGGATCAAAGCTTTGAGCGTTTCCTTTAGCTATCTTTAGGGTAACTTTTGTGCTGTTTATAAGAATAATATTAAAACAACATTTAATGTATTTAGCAATATTTCCACCAATTGAGTTACTCTTATAGATGTGTATGTTTCCTTTCCTTTCGTTTAGTTTTTCTTTGTTGTACCATTACAGTTGTTTTTTCATCTTTTAAAATATATCCAATATTTGACTCTGTGTTTTAGCTCTCAATCCATTTCAGTTGATGTGGTAGACAGATAGATACATATTTAAACAGCTCTTAAATTGCTCCCCTAGGCTGATTTCCATACAAACAATCAAAAACTCTGTAAAAAATGCAGAAAAGTTAATTTACCCTTTTCGCATTTTATTTACCCTTCAGTGGGGGTGGGGCAAACAATCTATTTGTTAAGCAGCTACACAGGAAACTCTCATTAATATCACCCACGATTGGACAGCCCTTCGATTTTACTATATAACCGTTAATTATTCGTTGCAAAATCGATAAAAAAAATAAAAAATATAGAGTGTTTCACATAAATACACACACTTTAAAGTTTAAACCAATAATTCATTGGTATTCCACATTATATACATGGATACATAAGATTAATTCCTCAAAGAGATTATGCATTCATCATGCTCATATTCCTATTTAACTTTGCTTATTCCATACTTATATTTATTATTAAATTATAAATTGGTATTCTTAAGTGTTATTTGATATGCTTTAGTACCTCGAATCAGTCTATTAAATAGGTTTCATCTTAATTCAAGATTGATAAGATTGATCGTCTGACTGTCAGGCTCTAGGTTGATTCATTAAAAGAACCATTCTGAAAGGGCATACAAAATATACAAATTATGGTGTGCACTTAAGGCAAGGGAAGGGAAGTGTTCATTTAAATAGCACTCCGGCCATTTAAATTTTTTCCATAACGCGAATTGCAGTTTTTGTTTCGTCAATTCGCTTTGAGTTGATTCCACGCCACTCTGCATATCAAAATGATATTATGTCAGAATGCAATGCAAATTATTGCACTTAAAACAGACATACAGAGGCCTGGAAAATGGCAAACAAAAAAAGGTTAAAAGATATGTACGCATGTAGGAGAGCAGGAGGAAAAAATCACTTCACTGTGAAATGACTGGCTTACGCATCGCATCGCTAAATATTAAAGTGGCAATGAATACAAATTGTCTCGTCAGAAGCCTGACAATCGCTTCTGCCGCATCGTAGTCCTCCAGAAGTACATTCAGTGTAACCGCAGGACAATGGAGTGGCAGGACACACACACGAACACATGGCATGGCATGTCCATCAAAGCCCATAGACCAGGGACCAGGGACCAGTGACCCAATTGAAGAATTGATTGGGTAAGCATTTAAAGAGGCGCCTCCCGTGTGAGCCAGACCCTCAAAGTGTTGTCCAACTGGCAGTAAACTTTCGACCTAAGTGATTCTTAGTTAGTTAATTGGATCAACTATGTTTGTGCCTCCGTTTCGAGCAGTTTCCTGCTCTGCTAATATGGAAATTTATGTGTATAAAAGTTGTGCGCAAGTGGGCGGAGGAGAAAAGAAAAAGTTTTTGCCCAGCACCAGCAGCTGGTGCCGCCAGCAATAAGTTGGATCAACTCCAAGTTCAATGGCTGCCAGGCACCGAGTTGGGGCTTTAATAAGCTGGCCAATTAGTCGAGTCCATTAGGATACACGAGGCTGGGTAATCTTTAAGTTTCTCAAATGCCTCGGATAGATCCGTGTCAAGTGGCATTCCACTCGGCACAAAAACTGAAAATTATAGAGACAGACTGAAGCATGGAATGGCCTCCAAAAAAAAAAGAGAAATAAGAACATTCCTCCAGTTCGTGGGGCCAAGGCCAAATCAAATATTTGACAGCCAAAGAGGGAGAAGCTGTCGAAAAAAGTGATGGAAATGACGGCCGGCCTCCGAGGAGCAGTGCAGCCAGCGCCAGGCCGTGTCCATCCATCCATTATTCAAAATGCTCAACAGACTCCACGAAAATTAAACGACAATCCATTTAATATACAAATTCAATTGATGAAATAAAATGAAAATTTAATTTCGCTCCCTGCTTCCTCTCGCTTCTCTGGTGCTGATTGAAATGAGTTATGCAGCAAATTCGGCTGTAATATTTTGATGGCTAAGAAAACCAATCCAGAAGTCGTTGTTAATGGCATTTGCACAGAGCTTGAGTACAGGGTTTTTGGCTGGCTCAATTATAAAAATGAGTTGGCTAAATTGTTGTACAGCTTGTGGCTGGCAGCCGCACACCAAAGCAGCCCCAAGAAATTGCAGAAAGTGGAGGGAGACTGAGGGTGAGAGAGAGAAAGCTGTGAAAATTGTGGCAAGAACAGAACTTAATGACATTTTAATTTATGCTTTTCTGTAGTTAATATCGCAAGTGTGTGAGAGCATTACGTATACAAATTATTAGTACAGAAACGATTCAAGTTGTGGAAAGTGCAGAGGAAAGTAAGTTGAAGTTATGGGAAATTCGAATGTTTCCTCAGAGTATACCAACCAATGGGGCTAATGCCACCCCGCAAACGACTTCATTTGGAAATCAAGTGCTTAACATTTAAGCAGCTTACAAGGTGCCCTAAGCCTTATGACCAAGGTGTCTGACAGCAGATCAAATTGAGCCGAGACACCACCGCAGCACAACACATCAACAATTGGACTTGTAAGTCGGTTAAGAACTAACAAGAAAGTAAATCCAGCCCAAGGGTAAGTCGAGGCTTTAGATACACTCGCGGAGAGAGTCTGCCTTTTTTGTACTGCCTACAGAGAATGATTATAAGGTATTATTATATTAATATTATAATTATTATTAGTAAGTAAATTACATCTAGCTAACAAACTAAAGCCGCTTGAGAGCCGTGCGGATCCTAAGAGCAGTAACAGTGAGCTGTAACAGTGAGCGGGGTAACATTATGTTAACCTGGGGTACTAACAGCGCTGTTGCTCTGTTAAAGCTGCTGCCCTGAACATTAGCTTAACAAAGAAGCGGATTATAAATATATTCCTATCAATTTCTGCCTTCCAAATCACTGCTAAAAATCATCGTACCTTCTGATAGAGTAAAACGAAAGTAAGATGTCACAGCTACTACTACGAGTTACATCGATGTAACCATGTCAAGAGCTAATAAGCAAGGGATACGCCCATGCCCATGCCCATTCCCATGCCACCTCTTTGGACTGGATCGGATTGGGCTCTGGAAAGTTCATTAAGCTTATGTAAGTTAATTAAAACGCAAACAGGCAAATGGCAAATGATCAAAGTGCCAAAGACAGCGGCGGCAAACTGGGGTACGGAGACAGCAGCAAGGAAAGGTGGGTCACTGGGTGGCAGGGTTGGCAGGCAGGAAGGAAGGCAGTGTGGCATAATGGCAAATCACTTTGCACCGCAAACAGAGTCCACTTGCCACTCCATGGCATTGGAAGCGAAGAGACGGAGACGGACACCCCACCACATCCACTTGGCCATGTTAGCTGCAACATGTGTCAACTGGTTTTTGAGGTGCGGGGGTGGATGTTTCCCACCCCGTGCGGTTTTGGGATGCGTGGATTGTAATGGACACGAGTGGGGGTGGCTGGGTGGCGGCTGCGGACTGGGGACACCATGTTCACATTTTGTTGCTGGTCAATTTATTGAGGCACATCAATTCGAAAGTCCCCGCAGAATTTGGCAAACGCGAGTGGCAAAGGTCAACACCAAGTGGATGTCAGGGTCCGCTGGTAGGCGTCAGGGCTATCCGTTGGATGATAATTACAGCGACTCTTCATTGCAGCGCAGGGAAATTAATCTTTGTGTAGTAACTGGAATGCAATTGCCACGCCCACTTGTCCAGGCATACCCCAGGAGGGTAATTGACAAGGCTCCAACACCATCCAACATCGTGCTGCTGCTGCTGCTGCTGCTACTCCTACTCCTCTGGGTGTGCTCCCCTTTAGTTACGCATTTGGCTGTAATTAAAAAAGCAAACTATGTAAATTACGTTTTTGGCTAAAGTTTATTGTGTCCCTGACAGGCAAGTCAGTGGCAGTGGCAGGGGCAGGGGCAGAGGCAGGACACGTCTCCTGCCAAGTGCTGCACTGCACCTCCATCAGAGGTGCACCTTTTGTGTGGCATGGTTTTGGGCGCCCACAATTGTTGACTCTTGCATAAATTATAATTATTAAGTGCAGCCGCAACGCCAGCACGAAAACACACACAATTTAGTTTTGCTTTACTTTTCTTCGTTTCGGTGTGTTTTTCTTTTGGTTTTTCTTTTCTTTTTTTTTTTTGGCTCCCCCCCTATAGAACACATTTTCTACACCCACCGTCTTTGGTGCCCCATTTGGGCTAAGCAACATTTTAATGCAGTTTGTTTTACTTTCTCCAACAACAACTTGCAACGATGCGTTCAAGTACAATTACAAACACAGGTATGTACAAACCAACCTTGTTCCCAATTCTATTTCCGTAAAATTGTTGTTTGAAAGGGAAATTGCGAAAAAGGGGGAACTACACCATCCAATATTTGTACTCACAACTTTCAACAGCGAACAAACACCTCCATAAATTGGAGAATTTACTGCATTCTTTAGTTCTTTTTATCGGAAGAAGCAATACTCCTTTCAACGTAGAATCTTTATTTAAAAATGATTGATTGGCTTTGCTATAAGCCAAGACCCTTTAAAAGAGTTGCATTCTTCCATTCAAGACAGAACGAAGCCCACAAAATGCTAATCCAAGTCTCTTTTCTACTCGCGGCAGCCACCCTGCTGTGTGCTGGACGTGTGCCGAGAACGGAAAAGCGCATTATTGGCGGAGAGGATACACCCATTGAGAATGAACCTTGGGTGGTGGCTCTCCTCGTGAATGGTAAACATATTTGCGGTGGTTCCATCTACACGAAAGATTTTATTATAACTGCTGCCCATTGTGTTAATACGATAAATCGTGAGGAGCTGCAAGTTCGAGCGGGCTCATCAAACCAAAATCATGGCGGAACAGTCCACAATGTGGCAGCGATTAAATATCACACTGGATCTCCCGGTTTTTCATTGGTGAAGAACGACATTGCAGTCTTACGATTAAGTGAACCACTCATATTTAATGATCGAGTGCAGAGTATCCCCTTGGCGGAAGAAGAGCCCGAGGCTAGGAGCGTGGCAAGGTCTACCGGTTGGGGTTGCAAGGATTCTGAAATTCTTTTCCCTGAAATCCTTCAGAGCGTTGAGACTCCTATCTTAAGCAAAGAAAAGTGTCAGACGTATCGCCAAATGGTGGGACTAAGAGAAGATATCATTTGTGCCGGAGCATGTCGAAAATCGGTCTGTTCGGGCGATTCTGGCGGCCCATTGACGCTTGATAATAAACTTGTGGGAGTCACGGTATTTGGTATAAAAAATAGGGTGGGCTTCTATTCAAATGTTGTGTATTTCAAGGATTGGATTCAAGATGCAATTGAATCGCTTTCATGAATGTATTTGAAAATGTTTAAATTTAAAATAAATTATAAAGAGAAATGCCTATTTTTGTTATTTGTTATTAATATTATTTGAAGCTCCAGAATATCCCAACCACCTGCCCTATTTATGCAGAAGCTCTTGGGGATATCCTCAAATGATGAACAAATGATGTATCTTCGGAAAACCTGATGAAAGTTGTAAAATTAATTTAGAATGTAGCGCCAAACTCAATGGATTGCACCACGTCTTTGGTAATTCGTTAGTTACTCAACTGTAGAATGTTTGAATATATAATACATATAAAAAATATATTTTTAAAATCTTGGGTGACGGCTTTAAGGTATATCCATGACCCGAAGCGTATGGAACACACTCAACGTAATAAGTAACTCTAACGAACCGTTAATATAAATCATTGAGCAAAAAACCAACTTTTATACCTAAACAGATTTTATTTTTCAGGATCAATCAAAATAAAATTGTTTTTAATTACCTAATTATTTAGCTATTGAATTAATTAAATAATAATTCGAGCTGTTTCTATTTAATGTGCATATGCATTATTTATAGCTATGTATACATATGTAAAGCGATAGGGAAATAGGCGTAAATATCACATATTTGTGTATGCAAAAATTAACGATATGACCGATTTGTATAGAACAATAAGATTCCGATGGTGATGTGATGAAGATCAGCTCAAGAGTAACTGCAAAGAGAGTGAGACAAAGCGATAAAAGGAAAGCCTAAGAGCAGCTCGAGGCTGCCAAGGCTAAGCCGAGCACATGCGATAGACAGAGAGATAGACCGCGAGAGAACATCTTAGATGCTGTATTGTGATATGAAGCCAGAAGCGAAGCCCGACACATTCCAAGGTCATACAAACCTTTATATGAAACAAACTCGTGTGACCTATTACTTTCAAAAGCACTTCATAAATCAGAGAATTTATTGCATTCTTCAGTGCTTCTTATCGGATGAAGCACTACTCCTTTCAAAGCAAAAGCTTTATTTAGAAATGATTGATTGGCTTTACTGGAAGCCAAGACCCTACAAAAGGGCTGCGTTCCCTCCATTGAAGACAAAACGAAACCCACAGAATGTTGATCAAAGTCTCCCTTGTACTTGCGGCAGCCACCCTGCTGTCTGCTGGACGTGTGCCCCATTTGGAAAAACGCATTATTCTCGGAGAGGATACAACCATCGAGGAGAATCCCTGGCAAGTGTCTCTTCTCAAGAATGGTGTCCATGGATGCGGTGGTTCCATCTACAGCAGTGATATTATCATTACTGCTGCCCATTGTGTGGACCAGAAAAAAGCTAGCGACCTGCAAGTTCGAGTGGGCTCATCAGATAAAAACCATGGCGGAACAGTCCACCAAGTGGCAGCGATTAAATATCACGAGGGATTTTCCCGTTATACTAAGGCGGCAAATGACATTGCCGTCATTCGATTATGTAAATCACTCATATTTAATGATCGCGTACAGAGTATCCCTTTGGCCGCAGAAGAACCCGAGGCTGGCACCATAGCAAAGGTTACTGGTTGGGGTCGGAACTTGAAGGGATCTGGACACGGCCCTCTTCAAGGCATAGAGGTTTCCATAATAAGCAAGTGGCTTTGTAAACTGGATTATCTTGACTTGAGCATCACAGATGATGTCATTTGTGCCGGAACCTGGGGTAAATCGATAGCAAGTGGAGACTCCGGGAGCCCTTTGACTGTTAATAGGAAACTTGTGGGAGTCGTCTCTGCTCGTAGCAGCTCCGCTATTTCAGGACAGTATGTCAGTGTGGTTTATTTTAAAGATTGGATTCAAAATGCAATTGAATCGCTTTCATGTATGTAATTGAAGAATTGTAATTGAAAATATATTGAAGCGAGCATTCCATATTATTGTTCGATTTTTTAAACTATTCGTAGACTAAGTATTACAGGAAAGTTAATATATATGTACTGTTGCTATGACTCATTGTAAAGTGTAAAAAAGGGTAATTTGACAGCAAAACATATTTTTTCCCTCAATTTCCTTAGGTGTCCCTGTCCAGATCTTTGATCCGCTAATCCTCCAACCAAACCTTTACGAATCTTCACACAAAATGGAATAGTTTAGACCAAATTCCAAAAAATTCCCTCTTCAAATTTCCCTGTGGGCTCTTTGAGGGAAATTCTTATAGGGAATTTTGGTGAGTTTGCGTTGCGCATTAAAAACTCTCTTCTCTTCTCTGGGATTCAGTATTTTCTCTTTCACTCTGCTTCTCTTGCAATATTAGTGTATCTCTGTGTGTGTCCGTGTTCACGCTTTGCTTTTCTGTCTATGTATGGGTGAATCTTTTTGCCGGTTTGTTTATCTTATATTTGAAATTTTTTTTATGCGCTTCTTAGCCGGCATTTATGGGCCCATTCAACAGCGAAACAAAAGTGCGTACCGCAATATCTGTCTGTGTGGATGGGCTTATATATGTATCTGTGTGTTTGTGTTTTTATGAGATTTCAGCTGCCAATTGATTGTTCGTGTGTGTGTGTGTGTGGGGCGGTGGATATCGGTCTACGACAGCAGACTACAAATATTTACAAGAGCTTTCATTTGTCTGATAGATTTATTTAAATATTTATGCAATTGGAAATTGTTGTCTTGTTTTCTCAGAGATAGGATTAAAGAGGGGGGATTTTTTTCTGCAATTAATTAGTTAATTAATAGAGAATTTTCAACACAGATATTTGAAGAACCTAAGATATCCATTGAGATAAATATATAGCGCCTTTTACTTCAATTCTCCTGCTCTCAGCATGTTGAATTAATATTTTGAAGGAATTAAAGAGCAAAACCTTCAATAGAAAATTTAACTTTGAGTGCTTTCCACTTATTCAACTAAATAAAACAAAGCCCCAAATAAAAAGAGCGATATTTCAGAGAATGCATCTGCAATTAATGTTAAACTTTATTGACAATAATTTACGCTTACGACTTGTCCATTTTATGAGCCATAATTCAATTTATGCCCCGCCAGCAACAGCCCCATAACCCACTTTAGAGCCCAGTGGTACCGCACCAAAGATACACTTGGACAACAACAAATATAAATATAAATCAACATTCTGCGGGAGAAGTCTGTCCGTTCAACTGGTGTGGCTTTTGGGAGGGTGGATGAGGGAGAAATGATGGGGATGAGACTGGGGTCTGGGGTCTGGCCGGGGCAATGGTCAATGCGATAATATCCAGTGGAAACTTTGCCCCCAAAGAGCTCAAAGAGTCATCGAAATGTGGGACACCTGTGGTAATGTCTGCAGCCATAGAAATGAGACCCACTGGAACCAAAACCCCAACAAATGCGGCTGCGGGCCAAAAGATATTTAGTTATTTAGAAAACCCCAGAGTGCAATGCGAATGTGCCAATTTTCTGCCTCCATTTTCCACCCCACTCTCGCTCTCTCTCTCTCTCTCTCTCTTTATCGCTGTGTATCTCTCTGTGGAGGAAACAATTAAAAATTCGTGTCAAAATACAAACGCAAAGAGGTGGCAAGAATTTTAAATGCATTTCAAGGTTCCAACAGTGCAACACGCAAAGTGGCACAGCGATTGCATGGGTGCCACATCATGGGTGGAGTGCACAGACCCCGTTTAGTGTAAATTAATTTTAAATTACATACGCGGCTTGTCCAATGGATCCATCGCCTAGTGGAGGCCTTTAATTAATTGCATTTGCCGCATGAATATATGTTTCAAATTTGTATGCGCCCTGAAATGTAATTTACATTTACATTTTTGGCGCCTCTTTTCGGTTATGGTTCATTAATTCAGTTGGATCATAAATAAAACAGAGTCAGAGTCACGGTCACAGTCACCATCACCATCACGTTCTTGGTGTCAAAGGACACAGACAAATAACAGAGTTCGAATTTGTGTTACGTATACGCAGTGTTATTTTTAAAATTTATTGATGGCAGCAAGCTCAATGGAAATAAATTATTTTACGTAACATTTTCGGCTCTGAACACACTGAGAAATGATTTTAAATATAATTTTTCGACTATAGAATTCTTTTTATTTTTATTATTTAGGAAAAGTCTTGAAAGAGCTATACAAATTATTACTGGAGAACAAACCCCTCACAAAATTTACAAATTTTAAAGCAAGAGAATATCTTAAATATTTAAGCAACTTCCAGTAAAAGTACCTATCAGCATTCAGACAGACATCGCGACTTTCCTAATAGAATCCTTTAAGCTATTTCTTTACATCTTGATTAAATGAAATTTTGAATTTAGTTTAATCTTTACAAAGGCTTCAAACTCCTTGACTATTTTCACATCCTCCAATCCAATCCCCCATTCAATGTCGATTGCCTGGCATTTTTGAGTTAGCTTTTTTGCAATTTTGCGGCACTTGACTCAGTCGGTTTATTGACACGCCCCGCACATGTCAATCACTCGATTGATAGACAGCCAAACACTTGACTTGGAGAGCAGACCTAACAGACAGACAGGCAGACACGCGGACGAACGGACGGATGGAGGGACGGGGCTGAGATGAGATTCTATGCGATGAGCAAGGGGTCTGTTCTGCTATTTTGTTGGATGCCCCTTCAAGCCTTTCGCCAGACATGCACTGCTATCCCATCACGAGTGCAGCTCAACCTCCGAACTGAAGCCCCAACCGATTCTCCCCCAACTGCTGTTGTCTACAAATATTTTGTATTCAATCTAAACATTTGTGAAGCCATTCAGCCAGACATCTTGTGTCGCTGCTGGTAACTGATTTTCGATTTGCGCAAAAATTTATTTGATTTCATTTTGTGATGTGACTTTGATGATTGTCCATATGCTATCCCCCATAATTCAGTGACCCATAAAGAATCCCCTACATAATTCATGAAGATTCTGTATTAAAGCTCATTAATTATTTTATTGTTGCGCAATTAGTTTTTAATGAAAAATACCAAATATTTGCATTCATTTCCGGTTTTTAAATCAACGCATTAAAAGCGACCAAACAGAAAAAAGTCAGTTGTATACAGAATTAATTTAAGTTAGTTTTGATATAATAAATTTATGTAAATATTTAATATTTCTGTATTTCTGGAGTTATTAAAAAAAACCCAGAGGAAAGCCTACCCAGTTTATAACTTTTAATGAGTGCATCAAGATGGACGACAGGGTGTTGCATGATTCGAGTCTTGCCTTCGTCTAAAGACCTCCATTTCTGATATAAAATCAGTTAATTGAGTTAACACATTTGGAAGAATTTTTTTTGCAGAAGATAATTACGAAGCAAAGAATTTTAAGGATTTTAATGAACATTATTTTGTATATAGTTTAAGGGGTACTCTGGAAGCAATCTTCGTTAAAGTTAAAGTCATCAAATTCCCAATAAATGCTTCATCATTCCAAAAACTCCAAAGAATAGTAGTTATGTTTTGTGGAAACAATTAAATAATTGCTTTGGCTGGCATCAAGTGCGCTTTGTTGACCATTTATCAAATTAAGTATACGCCACAGAGTGCCAGCAGCAAACAGCAAATGCTTGTTCGCCTTTTAATTAAGCACATTAAAAGTATCTCTGGCCAAGAACATTTTCAGAATATTAAGCGCACTAAAGTATCCCCCCAATCGGCCATTTTCCATGGCTTTTCCTCTTCGCTGCTGATTGATTGCCGGCAATTACGTTGTTGTTGTCACATTTATCCCTTCGTTTAGCTCTCCTTGTTTGCCTAAGTCCACACACATGTTTGTTCATTTGTTGGCTCGGACGCACAGGACGCCAAACACCCAACAAATATGAAGAACAAACAAACTTCGAGGCCGACGAGAATTCAATTAACAGAAAATTAAAATATTCCAATTTTATTCGAATATTTACTAAATTGCAAGATTGGCAAATATTTGCAGGGTTTTTCATTAGGGTTTCCATTAAAATGGATTTTGCAATAAACCGCAAGCAGCAGTAAGCAGCTACTGGAGCAGGACCTCGAATGTTGCCACTCACTTAGGAATAAATTTTGGTATTAATTCAAGGTACTCCACGTATTTACTTTGCAATTTCATAGCCATTTAATTAAGTTGCTGGAAAGAGTTAAGATTTTAAACATTCAAACACTTTTGATTAGTAATATGTGGGAAGCATGTTTAAAAGTTTGATGAAAAGTTGCTCAAAAGTACTCCAAAAAGTAGGTAAATAATATGACAGTGGGTTCAAAATACAACAGAACTATAAAGCAAATATATCATTACAAAAAATACCTAATGTAAGGAATGCGCTTGAATTATACCCCATGATTTGTAGCGCTAAATAATTATGCAATTTTTAATATTAATACAATCGATTATTTAATACAAAATACAAACACTTTTAAAATGCATATGATGGCTTAAGTATTGTTCAGGGCAGCTGCTTTAACCTGGAAACAGCGCTGTTTACACCCCAGGTTAACAGCCTGTTACTGCTCTTCAGTAACAGCTGACTGTTAGTACCCTCCAGCAGCGCTCTCATGATCCACACATGCTTATCTTTTGATTATTCCTTCTTCTACAAAAAATGCACCAATGTACCAATAAGAATATGTGATCCAATAACTCACAGCAATACTTTTCTCAATAAAACTTTTCTCAATTTAAAGTTCTGTCTCCACTAATCCACATAAATCAACTCACTATAACCAACGCTTAAATGCATGGTTAACTTTCTAAATTATTTAACAATTTTAATTATTACCCCAAAATTGAATTTCTTCCACAAACTTACAGATTTCTGTGAATAAACTACATGGATATACCCCCGAAAGTGGAACCATTAATCATGAAAGTTAAAACGGAATTGCCTAGAATCGCTTTCCAAGCCAGAAACCAAAGCGAAACTCTTTACATAAATCTTAACAAACTTTGCTTTGGTTTGCTAAAAACACAAGAAAAAATGTGAAATTATATTCCACACTTCCTTGTTATTTGGCTTATTATGTCATAGCTGAGAGAGAGAGAGAGAGAGAGAGAACACAAGCAACAACTAACTCAATAGAAACAATAACTGTGTCCCAGCATGTAGGCCAGGCCAACACTATTTTCATTTGGCCAAAAAGTGGGAGGAGGAAGACAGAGTCAACCGCCATCCGGTTATGGCTCTGGCTCTGACTCCAGCTCTGACAACGTTTTCCGTGCTTCATTCTACGGCTCCAGCCAAGCCAGTTAACCGCAATAATTTATGCCTTTGAGCCGTGTTTGAGTCAAAGTCTTTTGTGTGTGTGGGTGTGTGTCTGTGTGAGCTTTTTTGTTTGTGTGTGTTCGTTCGCTCTCTTGTTTGCTGTGTAGTGTGTGTGTGTGTGTGTGTGAGGCAACATAATTTTGCCTATTAAAGTAAAACACTAACAGCGCTTATCATTACAGGCCCGGCCCAGGCCCAGGACACAGAAGCACCAGGACCAACACCAAACAGCAGTAACAACAACGAGGGACGGCTACTTATGGTCGAAGTTTTGTATACCCTTTACTGGTTGACAGCTTTAAGGATAAGTGCCATCGATTTTTATACACTTTGGCTTATCGTTAAAAGATTGCTTGGCTTATCTTTAGAAACAAAAATTTGAATGCAGCAATGGAGTTCCTTTGTTCCAACTGTTTAATATAAAGGAGTTATCAAAACGTTTCCATATGCTTTGGAAATCTGTGAAAATTTTATAAATTTTAATTCCCCAAACATTGGATTGCTTTCTTTGCAGCACATTCCTCCAACATCTATACCCTCTGCAAGGGTATAACAAACTGCTGCCTGGTGTGAGCATCTCAGTTACGTAGCGCATCCTTTCGTCGACGCCATTTTGTTTAGTTTATGCTGTGTTAGTGTGTGCGTGCGTGCGTGTGTGTGTGTGTTTGTTTGTGTGCTGTATACCGGAGGGGTAGTCTCTGCCTCGCACTTCCTAATGCAAAAAAGCGACTTTTCAGCACAAATTTTTAGCAAAATTAAAATATTTATGTTGCCGACGTGCTTAATGCTCGGTACTGGTGTTTCGCTGAGTCCCAACCACACCTCACCCAACCCCCCTTGTGTTTAGTTTTTAGAGTGTGTGGGTTTCCGGTTCCCGGCTGCCGGTTGCCGGCTACGTGCGTGGTCTCGTTGATGCTGACGATGAGCGGTTGGTGCACCCTACCTAACGGAGACAAGAGCTTGGGATGCGGTGGAAACATTTTTGTACAGCTGGAATTTTTTATAGATTTTCTATAGATCTGCTAAGCATCTTTAAACTAAGCTAAGGGTATTCCCTATTCGATCTGAGCGGTTAAATTAAGTATTCCCTTCCTGTTTTAATGTTTCTATATACCCACAGTCTCCCACAAAGGCATTGCCCTGGATTGACTTCCTTCCTGTCCCACTTTATGCGCCAACCAAAGACGACAACGCCGTGCAACGCTGCCACTTAATGTTCGCGCTTTAGCAATATGAGATGCAAGGCATCCCCATTCCCCCTTGCCGGAGTGCAGCCGCAGACAGCCATATTAAAAACAATATATTTTGCCCAACTTTGGTACACTGACGCGCTGTACCCTTATGGCCTTTCAATGGCCATTAACTATTCACATTTCGGGCTGCACTTTTGGACTCGAAAATGATTTACATTCCAAGCAAATTGGATGCACTTTTCGGACTGGCGCGCCATCCTTAAAGTGTCATTAGTGGAAGATGTCGAAGGAGGAACCAGAGAACAGAAGAAAAAGTAAATTAAAGCAAACTCCTTGGGCGTCTTTTTCGTGCCTCGCTTTAATCTACGGGTATTCTCCAGATATTTCTTTTCTTTTTGCTTCTACATTTTTTCTGTGCCTTTTGCCTTTGCTTTTTACTATTTCTCATTTTCCATTTTCCATCTGTTTCTTGTTAAAAACGCTAGAAATTTATGACTATTTTGGGACTTGCCGCAGCTTGCGGCTGAAATGCTCTCAGATTTTTCAGCTCTGCCTTTTGCGGTTTGTGCTGTGCCTTTTTCCCTGGGTTCCGTGTTCCTTGTTCCGTTCCGGCCCATCCATTGTCAGGGCTTGTGGTCACGGGGTTTAAAGTTTAAACAATTGCAGATTTGCCTTTTAATTGTCGCCAGAGTGTTGCCGTTTGTTTCCATGAAAAGTTATTTGCTAAAAGAGGGTTGCACTTTTTCTTTTGGATGTATATTTGTTCTGTTCAAAGAAGAAGAACTTAAGGTCTCACTTCCATATCTTCCATATGCTATTGTAGAATCAAATCAAATTTAAATAAACTTGAATTGAATGCCCAAAATAATGCTCTTTCTTGCAGCGCATTCTAACAACGATTTTTCTTTCTCTTGGGAACTCCTTTTACTACCTGCTGAACTTTTGACTTCTTCTTAGGGGTGGGTAAGATTCCTAGTATTTCCAACATCTCAGCAGCACTCAGTGTGCTCGTTGGCAGCTCCTCCTGCTGCATCAGAAGCTGTAAATGGAAAATACTTTGGTATTCCGTAGCTTACCAATAGATTTAGTGCCTACCTTTTGTTGCAGATATTCGCTTCTTATGCCTGCGTAGACTACAGATTTGATCATAATGTTGCGCATCGATGTGGCGCATTTTAACTTGGAGGCCCGTCGTCTCGTCACAGAGTCCTCGATGGCCACAGGATTGGCGCGCAGTATCAGCGCGGAATAAGCCGCTGCAACATTGCATTGGAAATTGCGTAAACCAAATATATGTGAGCTCGAATATGCATGGAACGCATTGCGTGGGACTTACGCTCAAGGTGTTTGTCAAGATCAATGTTCTCCTCGAAGACTGCCTTGAAATTCTTGGCAGCTTTGCGCAATGCCCCGTCGGATTTGCACACTGCAGCTAAGGAGTTCATTAGAGATGGTAGTAAGTTCTGTGCCGTGGTTAAAAGATGCTTCTGAAACACATACATAAATGCATCAAATAAACTAAGGAATATTAATATCATTTTTTGGCTTACCTGCTTCGCTAGCAGACTGGCCAATTCCTTGGTCATTTCCGCCACTGACTCTTGGCCACATTCCACGTCCTGTTTTTGAGCATTAGAGTCGAGTGGATTTTTATAACCATCAACGTAGGTACCCATTTTAGCGTTTTGAATTCACAGAATTCTTTCTACCCGAAAGCCACGTGCAACTTCTCGAATTCTATTAGCCAGTGCTGGCAGACGCGTGCCTCTGCGATCTATCGATACTAGGGCTGCAAAGCTGCTGTGACGACAACTTTTATTAATGTACCAGAAAATTACTTAATGAGACTGAGGCGACACAAACTGTAGTCCCTCAGATTGAAAAACAACTGAAGACAAAATCTTGCACTTATTCTGCTATTCGATACTATCAAGCATTTTGAGCTTGACTTGGTTGTAGGGCTGCAGAATCATCCAGAGATGCATTTTGCTGCTCCAATTGCTCTTCGTAACTATTCGATCGACTTATTGTTATGACTGGTTTAAACAATCGTACAATTAATTATCTGATTGGCTTTTCAAATGCTTTTTAAGTGCGCTTAATTAATAGTCTAGACTTCTAGACTCCCAGCTATTGCAAAATTCAAAAACCATCGATATTACCTATCGTTCCAGTTCGATAATTCTTGCAGCCCTACTTTCAATATGGCGTTCATTTCACATTTTCTTCTCTGCTGACTATTTAATTTAAACGAAACTTGGAGCAGCCGCTCGATTTGGTTGTTTGTGAATTGTTTCCAAGTGCGTGTGTTCCCATAGTTGTATTCCTTACATTAAATCTTATTCATTTACAGAACAATGGAGGAAACATGTAGAGTTTGCATGGCAAAGTCCGGAGCATTCACAAACACATTCGACGAGGGGCAGAACAGGGAAACTTGCAGTGCTGACATGATAGCTCAGGCTATCGGGTACGTGTTGGGGCGAGGCGATTCACTGCCAGAACACATCTGCCCACCTTGCCTGGAGGATGCAGTGAGTGCATTCAACCTGTTGGAGGAGGAGGCGGATAAAGAGGAAGACCTCCGTCGTAATCTCGTACACGAGCAGATCCGTACGCAGACAGGAGAGCGGCCATTCCAATGCACTCAGTGCTCGAAGTCTTTCGCTCGCAGCAAGTCTCTCGAGCGTCACATCGGGACGCACTCGGGGGAGCGACCCTACGCATGCTTCCAGTGCTCGTCTTCGTTTTACCGAAAATCCGATCTCAAGATGCACACTCGTGTACACACTGGCGAGCGCCCATACAAGTGCGAGCACTGCCTGAGGTGCTTTGCCCGACCCTGTGTTCTCCGGGAGCACATCCGCACGCACACGGGAGAACGACCATACAAGTGCACTCGCTGCCCGAAGTCTTTCTCTCACCGCGGATCGTTCCGGCTGCACAACAGGAGGCACCACACACAGGCGACCAGCCATGCCCCGGCTAGCCCTTCTGCTTCGTAGTGTTTGTCAATTATTGTCAACATAACTACTTATGAAAATATACTCGCCACACCAGAAGTATTTAACAAATACTATTTATTCAGTTGTTTTTTTTTATGTGGCTTGAACTTGATAGAATGGGGAAAAAAGACAGGAGGGCGACGGAAGATGTACAGACTCCTGGGCAAATACTGCCACTGTCTTTCATAGGTTTGGCTCTGATTCTGTCCTGTTTTTTGAAGATTATTCAGTCTAAACTTTGACACAAAGATGCCGCAGCCTGGCCTGCATTGAAGCCATCAACTCCTCGTCGACTGTCAATGGCCGTGGGTTCATTTCCTTATTGTGAGCTTTTTGAACTTGGCTTTGCTCAATTGCTGGCTATCCTCACTCAGAGGAGGTATGAGGAGCTGTGTTGGCCACGGCGAAATAACCGGAGGGGCGGTGGTCTTTCGACGGATTTATTGACTGCAATACGGAAAAATATGCAGAAAAATAAAATATTTTAATTTATTTAAGGGGGCTTTTACCACAGGCTGATTGGTTTGGTAACAGCAGTCATGCCGCAGAGGCCAGTAGTTCTAATATTTAAATTCATTGCAAAAAGGAAAACAGCTGTTTTTATCCATTGAAATATCGCAAAACAATTGGAGGAAGGGAAGTAATAAAAACTATCGATAGCAAAAAGCTGCAAAAGCCGTAATGTTTTCCGTCGTGCTTGTGTGTGTGTACTGTTTCGAAAATCAACCCATAAATCGCGTGCTGACTGTTTCTACAACTGTAACTGTACCGACTGTGTCCACGTGCCGCTCCAAGACCAAAATGGACAACTATAAGGTGCTGAGCCTGCATTGTAGAGCTGGAAAAAACATCGATGTAACATCGATAGTATCGATGTTACTCAAAAATGTTCAGCATCGATGTTTTTTCTGCAAACATCGATTATCGTCACTTACAACCGAAAGACAAAACTCGTTATAAGGTAAGAGAATATTTTATGCGAATTTGCTTACAAAAATTAATCTATTCTACTTACTTTAATAGATAACATTTTTTGTGGTGTTGGCGTGGATCGTAGTAGCGCCATGGACAAGTTTGTAAAAAGTAAGTATAATGAAATACAGTTAATTTTGTACAATGTGCACACATATGTATTATGTATGCGAATAAATTTGTATACATGCATATACATCTATGTATGTATTCTCACTTTTTCGCATACTTTTTTACATACATAATTATGTATGTATTTAAATGTGTAAAAAAGTATCAAATTAACTATTTTAAACTAATTTCTTTAAAACAGTAACGGCAACTGCATTGGACGACGTTGGAAATAACGAAGAAGACATCATATCTAGTCCCAAGCGACCCAAAAAGGACCTCGCTAAAACCTAAAATCAACAAAAACAGCTTCCTATCAGATCTCAATTAAAAATTTAAGCCGCAAACAAATTTTTGTATTTTTTATGTCGATAATCGATTATAATCGATGTCTTCGCCCTAAAACATCGAAAACATCGATGGTGGCAAACATCGATGTTTTTCCAGCTCTACTGCATTGGGACTATCACCAGAGAACGCTGATCAGCGCATTCGCGACGCTACGGGAGACCGAGACGCTAGTCGACTGCACGCTCTGCGCCGAGGGCAAGTTCCTGAAGTTCCCACAAGATGGTTCTGTCCGCCTGCAGTCCTTACTTTGCCGCCTTATTCAAAGCGCATTACGACAGGAATACGATCATCCTACTGAAGGATGTCACGTACCAGGAACTCCGCGTCCTGATGGAGAACATGTTCCGCGGCGAGATCAACATCTCGCAGGACCAGCTGGAGGCGCTTCTCAAGGTGGCAGAATCGCTGAAATCAAGGGCCTGTGCGCAGTCGCAGAGAATGGTGAGTTTTGTAAAAGGTTTCCCCCCCTAAGTAGCAGTTTGATCTCACCAATCGTTTTCCCTCCCCCTCGACAGAGGCCCACGAAAGCGCAAACTCTTCTGTTCTGCAGGCCGCCGCCTCGAAACGAAAAAGTGCAGGTCTCGCCGCCGCGAAACGGAAAAGTGCAGTCCTCGCCGCCGCCGCCGTGATCAGCAAAAAGCTTTCCGGTGGCGGCAGCAAGTTGCCGACCCAGCAGCAGCCATGGATCATTTGGAGGATAAACAAAATCACGAATAAGCCGCAGCTGCAGACCAGCGATGCCAATAACACCGAGAACGTATTACCACAAGGCCAAGGCGCAGCTTTCGGTGGAGTCACTCTGGCGACTCTAGGTGCTGGTGCGTGCGCTGGAGCCGTGCGCACCATGGTCGTGGGGAAGCAACTGACAGCCGACGTTGGTAAATCATCATCCAATCGCAAGCAGAAGGACAAGAACAACGATAGACAGACGAATGCACACAGAGGCTCCACAAACTCCACACTGCGGGTTCAGGCCAGTAGCAGCAGCGGCAACAGGACCTTCAAGAGGCGCAATGAGATCGGCATGAAAGGCAAACCAGTCTACGAGTGCCAACAATGTGGCAGGCAATATACCTGGAAGGAATGTCTGCGTCGCCACGACAAATTCGAGTGCGGTGACAAGGAGCCAAGGCATCTGTGTCCCTATTGTCCATATAAGTCAAAGCAGAGCGGAAACCTTGGCACCCACATGCGGAGGATCCACGCCGATCGCCCAGCAATCATTAAGAAGAGGGGCAGAGTTCCCTTGCACCAGCTGAATCTTCCATTTAATTTGTAACCCTGTCCAACTTTCGCATACCCATGCAAGCTATTTGTATAGAAGCTGTCTCAATGAAACACACCCACACAACCTTAGTTTTTATTTTATATATATTCATGCAAAAGATCTCTTATCGGAATTGACTTAGCAGCCAGAAATGGTTAAGAAAAAGGAAACTAATGTTTATACGAATGAATTAAATGAATAATGAATAATAATCATTCATAGTCACTCCTCCACCTAATCTTTATTCCAAAACCGTTTTTAAAATTATGCTAAAGCTCTCCGGACCAACAGACCGAACGACCACTTTACACCTCCCCGAAGATTCGATGTTCGACTTGTCTCCATTAAAAAGTTTGCTGCTCCATAAATGGTCACAGAGAGAGAGAGAGAGAGAGCGAGAGAGAGGGTGGAACTTATTCCGCAACTATTCTTCTCAATTTCTCGCTCGACTGCATTTGATTTCATTTCATTTCTCAGGCCAGCCATGACAGATGGCAAATAAGTTGCTCATACGCCGCGTTGTGCACCAGACACACAAATGGCAGAAGATGGGTACAAAAAACCAACCCCCCCCACCCCAAGAAATTCAATTCCATGACAAATGAACTGCAAAACAGATGTCCATCTGTTGGCGAACGAAAACCACTTCGAGTGCGGTACGGGAACGGAAATTAAGTCCGACTGAAGCTTTAGAAAAATAGTTAAAATATTCAAACGCTGGCAAAAAAAGGGTAACAACTGAATTCGGATGTGACTTTTAGTCCTTTCTCTCTATAGAACTTGAATTTAAACAACTAAAAGCATACACATACGCTCTCCCTATCTCTCTGTGTGTGTGTGTGTGTGTGTGGGAGAAAAAGTTTGGAAAAAGTGCAGAGGAATTTCGGTAAAGCGAAACGGAAACAAAACAAACTAAAATCCCACAAAAACCGAAACCGAATGTGGATTGGGATTGGGATGTGGATGTGGATGATGGAGAGTGTTTGTGTCGACGAGACTGCGGCCGCATTTCGCACAAATATTGACACATGTGTGCGATGGTAGATGGTAGGCAGGAGGTGGGCGGACGGATGTTGGATGCATCGCCACACCTCCCCCATACCAAATCGAAACCCAAACCTGTCCTGTCCATTAGATGATTTATAGGTCAGAGATGCCGAGCGAACCACTGCCGGAGTACCAAAACGGAAAACAAAAGCTGAATTGAAACCGAATCCAAAATCGCCATCGCCATCGCCATCGCAATCGAAGACCAGCAACAGCGATTGACAGGGAAACAGTCTCGCCCAACCCACCACCGACCAACAAAAAAAAACCCAAGAAAAACGAATTGAAATGGACACTTTATGGACATGTAGCAGCTCCCTGCGCGATTGCCACATGCCGCCTTCGTCTCATGTAATTAACGAAAATTGCTCTAATGAAAAATACTCTCCCACATGTGGATCTGGATTGTATTGACAGGAGTCCAGGTACTCTCCGGTGCTGTATGCCAGTAGTACAAGCGAATGGCCTGTGGGTAATACTTTCCCACTCGTATGTCAGGGCTGGGCTGTGCTGGGCTGTGGAAAAGTGTTTGGTTCCACTTGCATTGTTGTGCTGTGCGCTTTTCCATTGTTGATTAATAATGCATTCGATGCTGGGACAATGGAGTGAATCGATTGGGGTCATGGCCTGATCTCTGCTCTGGTCCATTGAAGCTGCCGCAGGACCTGAACAGCAGGACATCCAAATGTATGGAATTTGACATGCGATATGCAGAGAGCATCGCTTTGTTGTTCAACTAAAAGCTGTTGGCATTGTTTTTGTGTTCTAGTGTTTGGCTTTTAATAACTTTGATTTGCCCTGAAAGGATTTTGGAATATTAATAAATTAAAACAAGTACTGCGAAAGGTAAATTCCTTTTTCGTTTCTTCACTTTAGTAATTTGTTTTATTAAATTTACACAATTTTACTTAACAACAAATTCCCATTTAAAGATTAAACTATGTCACAAAATATTCCCGCGCAAAAGTTTACCTCATCCTCCTCCCTCCCACACTCCCTTTTGCTTCCTACGCATAACGTATCCTATTCCCATCTCGTATCCCACCTCCCTCCCACACATATTAACTATTCATAACTTTGTGAATTCAATTTTAGCAACATTTTGCCACTCCCCCTCTCCCATATCATCCAATCAGCCAATTCCCCCGGCAACAGCCAGCGACCAGCTCCCAGTCTGGCCAACACTTTAAAATGTCATATGTAGCTAATGCTCTACAATCTCGTTGCGAAACTTTAGACAACGATCGACGCTTTGGGGGACTTGGGGAGCGAGCACAGGAGTTGTTACTGAAAAGGGAACACCACACAAAACAGGGGCTGACCACAGCAGCAGCAGCAGAATATTGCAGGTGTTGGCAGGACATAAATTCAAATTTGTTACACAACTTGTTTCAGTCGGCAACCGAAAAATACCCCTGCTCGTATATACTCGTAAAAAAATAAAAGTAGAATTGAAATTAAAAAATTGTTGCTGTTCGCTGGATATATAAAAGGGGGTGGGCATAACAAGGGGGTGGGGCAACCCACCCACACATCAGGCATTTGTCGTGTCCTGTTCTGGCATTTGCCTTTCACTCCATCTCCATCTGCATCTGCACTCACAGCTACATTCACATCCACATCTGTGTTTGGCCATGTCCTTGGTGGGTGCTGGCTGCCTGCGTCTCCTCTCCTCATTCAGCTGCTGTTTGTTCCATTGTTGTATGAATATTCGTGTGTTGGACTCGCTCGTTTATTTGCTCGCATTACAATTACCAAAGGACCAAAAGGACCTCGTCGTACCCGTACACGTACGCAATTTGTTTGCACACCTCCTGCTTCCCATCCAGCATCCAGCACCACCCCACCCCTTGTGCCCATTGTGGATCTGGACTGAGGACTGAGAAATGAGGAATAGTAGTGTTAGTTTGCCCGGTTACACAAACAAATTAATTTCCAGCCAGACACTCGAAATGTTTAGGAAGAACATTCAGCAATGTTTGTAATTGAATATTGTTGGGGGACCCATGGACCCCATCGACGGGCACGCACTGGAATGCCATAGTCAGCAGAAACACTGGTGGGTCAAATTATGCAAAACTAATTATGATTATAGCATCGCATTATACATAGATACGAGAATGCCCAGGTCCAGACCAACAAGAATCGAGGCCACAATGTCACAATAATGTGTGAAATGACGCGTTGCGTCCAGTCCGCTGGGGAATTAACTAACATTTTGTTTAATTTTCGACATTTTAGTTCTACGAAAGTTACAAAATATGTAAATATTTGTTTGGTGATTGTTAATTGATAGAGTCATATGATTGATGACAATGAGACAGGTGATTGGGTGATTTTTAATGATATATTAGTAAATTAGTTTTAAGGTAGTTGATATAATCCAATTTGCGATACTCGTCCATCATAAGTTATGCCCAAATTTCATCTAGATATTTTCTGTCAAGTATTTTTAATTAATTTTTAACAATTTTACTGCTAACTTAAACAAGAAAATTTCATTTAAATAATTTATGTAGCATTAAATGTTTGTTAAATTTTAAAATACTATTTAAACTGTTTCCCGGATAATGGAGGTTTTTCTATTCAATTTAAATTTCCATTTTTGTGAAACACTTGAAATCCAGCACAAAGAAAAGAAACAAACACAAGTGCACTCAAAACATATCCAATTAGTCATATTAAATTTCAATAGTTAAACAATTGAAACAATTGTACAATGAACTAAACAAAAAATCCAACAAATTATGGTTTGTTATGCGTATTAAAAATACACAAAAACTTCCACAAACATGTTTGTATTACCACATAAATATATATTTCATGTGGTGCACGAGTGTGAGTGCGAGTACATATATTTCGTGACATTTTTATTTATTTGCCAGCGGAAGTTTTGAAGCGCCGCCAGTTTCAGGATATTAAAAGGACACGTAGTCATGCATGTAAAGTGCCAGCGGCACCATCGCCTCCACAGGACTGGCCTGGCGGTCACATATGGAGGCTGTCGTCGTGGGTTTCTCTCTTATTGTGTGCACTTCCAGAAGTTATAATTTTGGTGTATGTTTGCCAACGTTGGAATCATATTTATACTCGCAAAAAAATATTTACAGTGAGCTGTAACCAGGAGCTGTCACTGGCTGTTAACGGATACCGCTAACAGGCTGTTAACCTAGGGTTCCAACAGCGCTGCTACCTGGATCATTTCAATAACTTCTACTTCAATTCGGTTGAAAATATTCTCCATATTGTAGATCTATCATAACAAAGATGAGCACTGAAAGGGCATATAAATTTTCGGTCACTTAAATTATCATTTAATTTCATTTCTTTTCTCCTTTTTCTTTATGTTCCCTGTTTTTCTTTTGGCTATTAGAATTATGAGTCGGAAAAGGGCAATGCCTCACCGAAAAAAACTTCTGTGCACAAAGGCAGTCTCCTTTGTTTTTTTTTAGTTTATTTTTCTGCAGAAACTTCTTTTGTGAGACATTGGCGATGTGAGCGAACGCTAAGTGTTGAAATGGCGCCTTTGTCGGTGCACAGAGGGAATTTTAATTAAAAACTCCTAATGAATTTTTAACAGGAACTTAAAGAGCAAACAAAAAGCACAGAGATAGTCCCTGGAGGAGTGGAGTCATGGCGTTGCATATCTGCGAGCAGCACTCGCAGTTTCCTTGAATTGCCTTCTTCCGTTTGGGTTCGTGCTATTCCTCTTTTTGTGGCTGTGAAATTATGACCACAAGAGCAGCGCCAAAAAGTCATCACGTGACCACACAATTGTGTGGTCAACACGATGACCATTCTGCTCTCTCTCTCTCTCTTCCGCTCTTCGTTTCCCCGGATGATCCTTTGGCCCAGTGCCTGCTGCTCCTACGGCCCTTTGGTGCTAATGACATTTCAACTATTTTAATCTTTCGCTGCCTTTTTCGCTCACTCGTCCAACCCACTCCACACTGCCCTATCCCCACTCACCACTCCAGCATTAATTAAATTGCCATTTCTTTTGGCCAAATTTTCACTGCGGTTTTCTCTTTGGCTTCATACGAGTATATGGATTACGTTACACAAACTTCTCCTTATTCCAGAGGATGGGACTTAGCGGCCCCAAACAACTTTCCGTTGAAATTGACAACCCAATTAGCTAAGGACCCTCGGGGGCCAACCATAAATACTTCGAATATCCGGCAGACAAACAACAGCAGAGCAGAGCTGGGCAGGGCAGGGCAGGGAGATTGCATAAATCTCAATCTAGGGTAAAAGGGAAACCCAAGCGATTGCCAAGCTCCACTCCAAGGATAACAAAAGGAGAATTGGATGCTGCTGCTGCCTGCATTAACCCGAGGGCT